ATTCAATACTTAATAATAATATACTGTTTAATTGATTTTATCAATTCTAATGTTAACACAAAAAATAAAGTATTATTATTATTATAAAAGTTAATTTTTAATCCTTAAAAATAAATAATAAATACAGATTAATATTAATCTACTGATAATATTTAATATATATATATATATATATATATATATTTATAAATAAAGTAAATTAATTATATTTTTGTAAGTGTATATACAGTAAAAATATATTTATCAATATTAATAATTTGTATAAAACAAATAAAATTTTTAATCAATAATTTATTTTAATCAATACTTAATATAAAGTATTTATAAACTAATTTTATTCTCGTTATTGTTTACATTAAATATTATACATATATATACATAATTTATTAATATACAATTATATTACCTGTATATTAACTGAAAGGTATAATCATTTAAATAAATAAAAAATTGTTTTTATACAATATATTAAAATAGGAAACAAATAAAATAATAATAAAAAAGATTAAACAAACTTTGTATACAATAGTATATAAATAAAATTTTTGATATAAAATAAATTTATTAAATGATTTATTTTACTTAAAAATTAGAAATTATTAAAAATAAAATAAATTATTATTATTATTATTATATCATTCAATGGCTAATAATAATAATAATAGTCGTATGTTAGCGGGTCTGCTATCTGCCAGCGATTTGGCCAATGATTTGATATGCGGTATATGTCTGGGTATAGTTTGCCGACCAATGGTCACACCGTGTTGTCGGCAAATGTATTGTTCAGATTGTATTAGCCGATGGCTGGGAAGCTATGTTGATGTCGATGATGGCCAACAACAACACCGACAACAACGGGAACGGCAAACCTGTCCATTGGACCGAAAACCGCTAAAAGTTTCTCAACTATCAAAAGCGCCGCTATTTTTGGCAAATCTATTGGAAAAGTTTCATAGTTTAGGTAATTATATATATATATATATATTTTCCAATATATATGTAACTTATAATTAACTTTTAGTTTTAAAAATTATTATTATTATTATTATTGATAGATATTAGTTATTAATATTTTTTTTAATACTTAAACACAATTTTATACTTTTAGATATATCTATAAATAATATGAAAAGTAAATTATCTTATTTACAGTATTATTAAAACTATATATAATTGTATTATTATATATATATTTTCCATAATTTAGTATTAGTTTATTTTATATTATGTTTTAATATAGTATAGTACTTTATATATGTATATTTTATTGCTAAAAAAAATATTAGTCTATTTTTAAAATTAATTATTCTATGATTAATACTAATTATTTAAATATACATAAGTTATAAATTTGTAAACTTTTTGTCTTTATATATATATATACTTTATATACGGTATATATATATATATAAATATATTTATTATTTTTTAAAGTTATAAAATTTTCTACTGTAAACTTATTTAAAATTTTATACTATTAAATAGTTTATTGTTAATATTATTTATTCTATGATAAAATTTTCCATATTATAATTAATAATTACTTGTATATATATAAAGTATAATTTTTTTAAACTACTATAAAAGCTAAAAAAAATCAGCAAAAATTTTATTTGCACTCTCTTTCTCTAAATAGTTATTTAATATATATATTAATTTATTTGTTACTTTATTTGAGTGTAAGCTAGTTATCTAAATTTTTTTTATAAATATTTTCATTAACTATAATAAGTTAATAATAACAATAATAATAATTATTATAAATAATTAAATTAAATTTTCAAGTTTTTTGTTTAAATTGTTATTTTTTATATATATACATATATATTTAAGTGATTTGCTTAAACATGGACACAGTGGACATTTCAAGGGTTGTCAACTTTGACAAATTGGCGCCATTACTAAAACGTCATATCGTATGCATTGTTTGCCAACGTGTGCCCATACGTCCGGTCGCCTATAGGTGCTGTCCAACGGTTATATGGTGTACGTTATGTGCAGCCAATGGTAACGGTGACGATCCTATCGCTTGTATATGTAGTGGTAATGGTTTTACCGCCGCAACCGGTGCCGCAACCGGTGCCACCGCCGCCATAACTGGTGCCGCAACCGGTACCGCCGCCATAACCGGTACCGCCGACGAAACCGGTACCGCAACAGTTGGTACTGATCAAACCGGTCCGCCGCCGCCGCCGGCCCGAGCGGCTCTCAGTCCTGATGCTGTCCACCCGAATATCCGCCGTATACTGGACTCACTAGACGTTTGTTGTGCATACAAACCGTACGGATGTAACAGACAAAACCTTAAGTTGACCGTCGATTTAGTTGATCATCAAATCGGATGCGACTATTCAGGCGACCGACTTTGTAATGATTGTGGTCTAGAAATGCGTGACCATTACGAGGCTAATAGAAACGCGGCGACGGCTGCGACCGCCAATTCAACCGCTAGTTTTGGACCGACTGTTTGCATACGCCTATTAGCCAAAATGGTTAAGTATTGCGCAATTGATATCCAAACTCATAGATCGGCGCTGAATGTAATCGATGGAAACATTATCCGATTGGATAATGAATTAAATAATTCGAAGAAATAATTTTTACAAAAAAAAATTGATTTTAAAAATTTAATTACCGTTTTTATAAGCAATTAATTAGTATTTTTTAAATATTTAAAGAATTTAATTAAGATATTTAACGTGAAGTTTCTGTAATCACTTTTCACTAATAAAAATCACTTATAGTTTTTAATTAAGAAAAAAAATAATTGTTTTATATTATGAATTAAATATTAAATATTTATTTGAAATATAATAGAGTATATATTGTTTTATTTAAAAAAAAATATTATTATTAATACTAATTGTAATTACATTCAATTATTTACATTCAATTTATTCAATTAATTCAATAAAGAGAGAGAGAGAGAGAGAGAGAGAGAGAGAGAGAGAGAGAGAGTTAAATAAAAAATCAATTAAAAATTATTTTTAAACTATATATCAAACTACAAAACCAGAAGGAAGTTAAGGCATACCTACCGGCGGCTGATGTCTGGTATGAAGTGCGACGAAATCACTTCAAAAGCGTACCGAATGTCGGCTATATTACAATCCCGGATACACCGGCCAGTCCGCCACCCGTTCATCTGCGCGGCGGTCACGTAATATCGATGGTCAGTACCGACAAACTAGTGACCACTCAATCTGATTCGTTCAAACATTTGCAACTGGTTGTACTACCCGACGGTAAAACAACTGGTGGCCAGTCATCGTATGGACAGTTGTTTTGGGACGACGGCGATAGTATAGATACTATTGAACGAAATGCCTATAATCTGTATTCAATTAGACTGACCGGTGCTAACTGTACGGTAAGTATTGTTGCCGATAAACATCGGTTTAGACAAATCAGTGGTCAAACCAACCATTGATCGTTTGGTAGTAGCCGGTACTAGACAAATGCCCGGCCAATTGGTAGCCACTGTTGACGGTAAACAAGTTCAGGCCAAACATGTTAACGGTAGGACAGAAATCGATGTCAACCTACTATTGGATACGACATCCACTAATCAATGGACAGTCCAGTGGAAAGATAGTCAGTCAGGAAAATGTGATTTATTGTGATTTTTTTTTTGGAATAATAATAATAATTAAAAATATTTTTTATTAAAAAAAATAAATAAAATTAATTAAAAATGTTTGCGTTTTTTTTAATTATCCTTAAATATGTTATCAATAGTAATGTATTTTTCTATTTAATAATTTTTTTTATAACTAATTTGTAATAATTATTTTTTTTTAGAAATTAAATAAATATATAATAATTATTTAATTATTGCATTCAATATATTATATTTTGTTTTTTAAATTATGTTTTTTTTACTATAAACTTTGGTTATAAAAAGTAAATAATAAATATTTATAATTAAGTTAAACTAATAATAACTGACTAAGTTATTAAAAAAAATTTATAGATATTTTTAAAAATTTAATAAAAATCTTACTAATTATTATAAACTGTAAACAATTAATTGTGGTTTTTAATACTTGTATAAAATGTTAATACAAATTAATCTAAACAATTAATTTAAAATAGCAAATAATTTTATAATATTAATTTTAAAAATTTATCTTTATTTTTTTTAAATTTAATATTACAATATTTACAATAAATTTACAGTTAAAATGTATTTAAAAAATACTATTATCTGAAAAATATTTTTTTTGTATTAAATTATTTATTAAATTATTTATTATTTATTATAACTTATATTAACTTTTTATTATTTTACAATTCAATATACAGTATGTATATTAATTAGAGACTGTAAACATTTAAATAATTAATCTATTAATAAGTTATATACTGTATAAGTCATATAATTTAATTAAAAAAATTACTATATTTTCAATTATTTACTATAATATTTAGTTTATATATATTATTTATTTTTAATATATTTATATTTAACTGCTAAATTGTTTTACACTATTAATGTTTATCAAATAATAAAAACTTTAAACATTTAATTAATATATTTATTTAGTTACTTATAAAGTAATTTGCATTTTTAAAATAAAGCTTATTTTACTTTCGTACAATTTATATATTTTAAAAAATTTAAATAATTTTAAAACACTATATTAAAATATTAATTAATTAAATAATTTTTTAACTAATTAAATTATTTTAAATATATATATATATATTTATTTATAATTAATCATTTCCACAGTTTAAATATTATTTACTATTATTTAAGTATTTTTTTTGTTAAATATATGTTTTTTAACATTTTAATTAGTAATTTAGTAGTTTTTTTTATTTAAACAATAGTCTATTATTTAAGTATTTTTTCAACATTTGTTTTTTTTATTTTCTATTGTTTAATTTTAATTTTTATCAATTTTTTTATTAACAGTAATTTATTATAGTTACTATTATTATACATAAAACAAAAACATAAATTAAAAAAAAATAATAGTATAACAGATAATACATTTACAATTTAATACATAGTAAAATACTTGACACGGTTTTTTTTATCTAATTAACATTAATAGTAGTAAAGTTAAAATAATACCCAAATAATTGCAAACTTGTTGCAAAAATTTTATATAGCATTAGCACATTTAGTATATTACGGCTCCGGGATTATTAAAATTACTAAAATTATTATTATTATTTTATAATTATTTTTTTTCAATTATAAATAAAATATAAAAATTAATCTATATGTGCACTTATTTCATACAATATTTTTTATTGAGTTTTTTTTGTTATTGTTATTATTAGTAAAATTATTTTTTCTACTATAATAACCCTTTATTTTTTACCTTTTAATAAAAAAAATAGTAAACATAAAAACACATGTTAAAAATTTTTGACATTACTTAACAATAGTTAATAACATATTTTTGTTTTATTTTATTATATAATGTGTTTAAATTAATTTTCAAAAAGAGTTAAAAATTTACTACTAAAAAACAAACTTATTAACTTAAATTAGGTTGTATATAAAAGTATTGAATTATTTATATTAAAAAAAAATACAATCAATAATTATATTTAAAAAAAACCTTAAATATATCGATATATAAAGACAATTATTTTATTTTATTGTTATTTTTTTATATTTCATTTTCTATTTAAAATTATATATTTATTTATTTTTTATTAAAAACTTCAAAAATCAACAAGTATGAATCTTTTAATAGCTATTACAATAACTACTATTGTTATTGTCTATATTGATGCAACAGGTTAATTTTTACATTATTAATTATTATAAATTATTAAAATATAATTAATTTTTTTAATCATAATTTAATTTTGTTTTGTAAATTATATATATATATATTTTTCAATTCTAATTTTTAACAAATTATTTATTTTAATTTTTTTTAAAAAAAAAAGTTTCTGACTGTCCTATCAACAATCTATGGCCAGAGGCGCCCGATTTTAACAAAATATTTGAAAAATATAAAACTATAAAAAGTATAGCCAAACTAAATCAAACAATGAAACTGGATATAGATAGACAATGTCAACTGTTTAGTCGGAGAGCTAAACAATTTCATAATGAGCAAATAGATTTGATGGCCACTGAATATATGAAAATTTGCAATTTTTTTCGTCAACTAAATAGACAAATAGTCGGCAATAGTTATCGGGAAACGGATCCACTGGTTAGACACGATAGGATTGCCGAATGTGCTTGTTGGGAAACCTATTGGACCAGATATTTTACCAAGGTATTTGCTAGACAAAGTCAATGTACAGTTGATGAGTTGGTTGGCCCGAGTTCGAATCCCGTAGAATTGCAATTGATTTTTTTGGATAAAATCAATTATTTATTGAAAATATTGGACAAATTTTACGATATCGATAATGGTAAAGATAAAGATACTTGGCTGACTACAATTACGCAGGTTAGTTTTTTTTTATTGTTGTTGTTGTTGTTGTTGATTGTTGATTTTTTTTTTATAAAAAAAAATAATATAATGGGACAGGGGAAAAATAATCTAATTCAAAAATGAAAACTATATGAGAATATTGATAAAATATATGAAAAATATCTATTTTGTTAGTAAGCAAAAAAAAAATATATATATATTTGTTTTTATTATCATTAGTATTATTATTAGTAGAATAAATATATTTAGAGAGAGAGAGAGAGAGAGAGAGAGAGAGAGAGAGAGAGAGAGAGAGAGAGAGAGAGAGAGAGAGAGAGAGAGAGAGAGAGAGAGAGATGTAAAGATTAACAAAATATTTTTTTAAATTTATTTTTTTTATTTTAAAATTTTTTGTTTCTATTAATATATWATTATATATTATATAATCTATTATTATTATTATTGTATTAGACTATTGAAAATTTGAAAACCGAAACAACAAATATTCTTAAAGATTTACAAAATATAAAACCAAAATCAAAAAAAATTAAAACATTAAAATATTTAATTATCGATGTTGATATTTACAATCATGGTATGGATGGTATGAAATAATTTTTACGAAAAAAAACATTTTTGTTGGTTTTAATGTTTTTTTAATATTAGATTTTTTAAAATTATAGTAATAGTTTCTTTTTTAAAAAGATATATTTATAYATATTTTTTTATAAATTTTAATGAATAGCATGTAATAAATTTTTTTAAGTTCTATATAATTTTAATTATTAAAAATTATTTATATAATTTATTTGTTTTTTTAATTTTAAAAAATAATATATATATATATATATAACTGAGGAAATTGTAATATTTTAATTTTTTTAAATTTAATTAATCTTTTATTTGTTTATGATTTTTTATGTAGTAAAAAATTATTTAATTAAAATTATTTTATTTATTTAATCTAATATATTATTTAATTATTAATTTTTTGTTATTAATTTAATTTCTATATACAATAATAATTAATATTGTAGCAATTAATTTTTTTTTAAAAAAAACTATTTATATAATGATTATCAAATAAAACGTTTATTATTTTTTAATTAATAATGTTTAGTTTATTTATGCTATTATATTATAAAAAATACAATATAAATGTTTTGCAATAATATTAAATGATTTTTTAAAAATATTAATACACGTGCAATATTAATTTTAAAGTCTCATCGAAAAAATATATATTTTTTAAAAAAAACTATAAAAACAGTAAAACTTAAAATATTAATTAAATTAATGTATATAATATCTGTAATTATATTAAAATATTTATATATATTATAGATATATAGAAAATAATTTTTCTTAAAATATTTTTTAATTTCTATTTAATTTATAATTTACATGATTTTTAATTGAATCAATTTTTTTTACTTTGAATTATGAATATTTTAATAGCAATTACTACTATTACTACTATTGTTATTGTCGTCAATATTGATGGTACTACAGGTGCTCAACAAAACGGCTGTCCGATCAAAAATCTATGGCCAAAAGCACCGAATTATACTAAACTACTCGTAGAATTCAAATCAAACAAAACTCGTTCCCAATTGACTAATAGTATTGACAAAGATATTGGTCGACAATGTCGACTGTTTGATGGGAAAAGTCGGTCATTCAAAAAACAGGGACTCAAACTAATGGCCCACCGATATGCCGGTGCTTGTAATTATGTACGCAATTTAAATCGGCAGTTAGTTGCCAATAGTAATGGGGAACGGGATCCCAGTAAACGACTCGAAAGGCTGGGTGAGGCTGCCGTTTGGGAAAACTATTGGGCCAAATATTATAGCCAGGTATTAGACAGACAACGCAAATGTTCAATGAAACAGTTGGTTAGTGGTGGTGATGGTGGTGGTGGTGGTGGCAATGGCCAGAGTTCGAATCCCATTGAGTTGAAGAAAATTTTTGTCAAACAACGCAATCAAGTGCTGGTAATATTGGGAAAATGGTACGACAGTGACAATCAACATCATAATGATCTATGGTTGCCCATAATTAATCAAGTTAGTTTTATAAATATTTTATTTAAAATTTATTTTTAAACTAGATAAATTAATCAAGATTACGAAAAAAATATGATAATAAAATTTCCATAAAATTTCCCTAAAAGTTCCTAATTTTTTTTTAATTTTTAAATCTTAGTAATCTTAGATAGACATATATTTTTAATTATTATTATTATTATTAATTATTATTATTATTATAATTTGATTATATTTTACTAAACAAATTATAATAATTTTTTAGTAATAGACAATTTATCGCTAATTATTTAATAATTAAAAGTTTTAATACAAAATTTTTTTTTCTTTAAACATTATATATTGAAATATTCAAATTTATTTCTAATTAATTAATTTAGTTTTAATTGTAAAAATTATATTAAAAATTATATATACTTTAGTTTAATTAATGTTATTTTTTTAATAAATAATTTATTAACAGACTATTCAGGACTATAAAACAGATTTTGCAAACATTGACAAAGTTGTGGCCAAATTGAAACCAAAACCAATAAAAGTAAAAACATTACAAAATGTTATCAACGAAATTGAAATCGTTAGACACGGTATGGAAAGTATGGTTTAATTACTAATTGATTTTTTTTGTAAATTTTATTTTATCAAAAAAAATAATAATTTTAATTTTTATAATATTTTTTATAGTAAATTATTGTTTAAATAATTTTATTTTTTAAAAAATAAAATATTATTTTAACATTTTTAATAACTCTAACTTTATATTTTTTAAAAAGATAATTATTAAATTTAAATGTTTATAAAATTAATAGAAAATGTTTTAAATAGAATATAATTTTAATCAAAAAAATATTTTTAAATTTTATTTTATATTTTACAACTAATATTTTCAATAAAATAAATATATAATAAATTTAAAAAATAATAATGTTTTTAATATTATTTACTTAGAAATTACTGCTGTTTTTATATATTATTGTAAAAAACATGATTTAATAGTTTTATTGCTATATCATTAAAAAAATATTGCAAAAAAATAATTAATTAAATTTTTTTTATATTGTATTTATTAAAAATTTTATTTAATAATATTTTAGTTAATACTAAATTATTAATAACTATCTAGTTATTATAATTATATTTTAAATTTAAGTATAATATAAATTTATATATAAATCTTTATTTGTATTACATTAAAATTTAATAATAATATTTTTTAAGAAAATAATATAATAATTTATATTATAATATGTTAAACAAAATTTGCATAGAGTTATATTATTGATATTATTATTATTATTATTATAACAGTATTAAAAGTTAATTAATGTTTTAGTAAATTATATTGTTAAATTTAATTTTTTATCATTAGTATTTATTTTTAGATATTTTATTTATAATTACTAAACATTATTAATATTTATTATTATTAATTATTTATTAATTATTTATTTTTATTTGTTATTATTTATTATTATAATAATTATTAAGTACTACTTTATACATAAAGTACTTTATGTTTTTTATGTCTTTAAATAGAAGTTTTTAATAAAATATTTATTTATTTATAGTTAAGTTATTCAATTATACTAATAAATTATTTATTTATAATTTATTTTTATTTATATACAATATATATTATATATTATAAGATCATTGCTTTACAATAAATTAAATTAATATCAAGGTTAAATACCTGGTTTGTAATAATTAATTTATAATTACTAAAAAAACTTCTAATTAAATTAAATTGAATTATAAAAAATTAATATTTATTTAATAAAAATTTTGATTGTTATTTGTTCAATATACTTTAATACAAATAAAACTTGTAAAAAATAAAAATACATAATAAAACTAAAACATTAAGATTTATATATATATATAATTTTATATATATTTACAGTATATATATATATATAATTAAAAACATTCAACTTTAAGTATAATAATTTATTTTCAATTATAATGATTAATTATTAAAAATGATTAGTTAAAAATAAAATTTATCAAAAAAAAAAAATAGAAATCAATAATAATACTAAAACGTTTAATCTATTATTATTATTTATTATTATTATCATTATTAATTATTAATTAATTATTTTTGCTATAATATAATTTATAATTCTTTGTTATTATTATTTATTGTTATTTATTTTAAGTAATTATTTTTAGTTTCATTATATATATATATATTATTAGTATTTATTTTTAGTATCATAAGCTATTTTTGTTATAAATGTATTGTATGTTTGTTTATAATTAAAAACTAAAACTAGAATTTAGAAATTATTGACATAAAAGGTTAAAAAAATGTTTTTATTATTATTTTTTTCAATTGATATATTATTATAGTTCAGTTGCTCTCTGAAAATATAGACTATAAATACTGATTTTTTTTTAATAAAAAAATATTTAAAAAAGTATACAAATAATTGAATAAAAAAAATTTTGAAAAATTTTTATATATATATATTTTTATATATTTATAAATAATTTTTTTGTGATTTCTATTTAAATTAATTTTATTAATTTAAATAAGTGTAAAAATATGTTTGTCTATACTATAGCTATTACTACCATTATTGCTATTGTCGACAATATTGTTGGTACAGGTGCTGTAAACGACTCTCCAATCGACAATCTATGGCCTAAAGCACCGAATTATACTAAACTACTCGTAGAATTCAAGACAAACAAAACTCGTTCGCAATTGACTAACAGTATTGACAAAAATATTGGTCGACAATGTCGACTGTTTGATGGGAAAAGTCGATTATTTAAACAACAAGGACTCCAACTAATGGCCCACCGATATGCCGGTGCTTGCGATTATGTACGCAATTTAAATCGACAGTTAGTTACCAGTAGTAATGGGGAACGGGATCCTAGTAGTCGACTGAAAAGGCTTGGCGAAACAGCCGTATGGCAATACTATTGGGCCGTATATTATAGCCGGGTATTTATTAGACAACACAATTGTTCAATGGAACAATTGGTTGGTGGAAGCGGTGACCAGAGTTCGAATCCCAGTGAATTGCAAAAAATTTTTGTCGAACAACGCAATCAAGTGTTGCTACTAGAAAATAAATGGTACAATTTTGATAAACAACATCATAATGATCTATGGTTGCCCATTATTAACCAAGTTAGTTTTATTTTTTAATTATTATTATTTTCATTTAAAATTTTTAAATATTAAAATTATTCTAGTCATAGTCAATTTATCATTAATTATTTAATTATACAGTTTGAATTTTTTTAAAAAAATTTCAAACATTATAATTGAGATATTCAATTTTTGTTATATTTAAATAATTTATTTTTTTTAATTTTAAAAATTATATTAATATATTTATATATATATATATACTTTAGTTTAATTAATGATGTTTTTTTAATTAATTTTATTTTATTAGACTATTCAAGATTACAAAACAGATTACGCAAACATTGACAAAGTTGTGGCCAAATTGAAACCCAAACCAATAAAAGTAAAAACATTACAAACAGTTATTAACGAAATTGAAATTATTAGACATGGTATGGAAAGTATGATATAATTACAATATATTTTATTTAAAAATTGTATTTTATCAAAAAATATATGAATATTTTTTTTAATTTATAAATTTGAATTATTGTTTATATTCCCAATATTATATAATATTTTATATAATAATTAGTCTGTGAAATATTGCACATGTTTCAATAATAATTATTTTTTTAAAAAATAGTCTATGTATAAAAACAAATTTATTTTAATAAAAAAAAATTATATTTTGTTTTATATTTTATAAAAATAACTTAAATCTTTTATCGTCAGATAAAAATTATAAAATTAATTATATAATTATTTAACTAATATTTATTTGTGTCACTATCATCTAAGTTTAAAAAAATAATATCTTAATCTATTGTACATTTTAAACATAATTTTATAATCATTTAAGTAAAATAACATATGTTTTTTAGTAAAAAATACTAACAGGATATAAATTAAATAACTAATCTCAATATAATGATAACAATTATTGAAAATAATTTGTATATAAATTAGAAATAAAAAAATATTTATTATAAACATTAAAACATTATCATAAATATTAAATTTGTATAGATAGTTATAATTATAACTTAAAATTAATGGCAAATTTGTTAATTTTAGTTATATTTCTAGTAAACTGTATGTTTAAATAATTTAAAATTTATGAGTAATTTATTAATTGTATTAATAATTTTTAATTTTAATTTAATTAGATAACTATATAGTAAGTGAAAAATGTTTAGCCGGTTGGGATGCATATGACTCACAATTGAAATGTATTAAAATAGTTGGCGATTCACTGGAAACATATGGCAATGCTGTCGACATGTGTACAAAACTGGCACCGGGAGGATCAACATTGTTGACAATACATTCACCAGAGGAACAGTACTATTTTAATGATTATCTATTTGTCCAACATAAACTAGTTGATTCAATATGGTTGGGTGCTAAAGTCAAACAAACAATAATGACCTGGATGGATAATACAAATGTTACCTATACTAATTGGGCAACGGGTCGGCCACAAAACATTAGTGATATTGAATGTATAGAAATGCAATCGGAACAGTCATCCCAGGGTAAATGGTATGATATAGCATGTAATAAACGTAACCAAGTTGTTTGCCAGTCGATGCAATCGATGCCCGTAAGTGATCTGGAAAAATTAATATTGGAAACTAGAAAAAATCTACAAGATCAATTTGATAGACTAGTAGCTAATCCAGTTCCCCCGTGGGGTTTATATATGTACAACTATCGGGTCAACCCGAACCCAGTCGACTGTGGCCACAGGTTAAATGGCAAGAAGTGACCGCCGATTATTCGGGACTGTTTTTCCGGGCCGAAGGTTCGGGTTCCGAACCGTTTGGTCAGATACAGGCGGCCAACTATAGCCGCTTGGCTGCTGTTCATGTAGACTATTCGGATAAGATGGCTAATTGGGTTAATCAAGGTACTAAATTTACCCAGTTCAATGATCAAGGTGGTTGGTCAAATGATATTGCTGGTTTATTAATGTATCATATGCAATTGTATTTTACATCGGGTGAAAATTCGGGCCCCGAAATACGGCAATAAAAATATACAAGCGCATTTGAATATTAATTATTTTTTTAAAAAAAAAATAAATCAAATTAAATAATACTAAAAATACAACATTTTTTAAAAATAAAATTAATATTTTTTAATTAAAGTTTTATCAATTTGTATATTACTAATTTAAAAAATCTATTTTTTAATAGCTATGCACAATAAGTTTCAAATATTATTTTATATAATTACTTGTATCATAATATATAAATTGCTAATACTATTAATACTATTGTTAGTAATAAAAAATTGGATTTTATTATTTTATTAATTTATTAAAAAAAACATTTTTAAAACTAATATTATAATATAGTAATTTACTTATACATTTGATTAATAGATAATTTTTCAGATAATTGCAGTCGACGATGATTTTTAAATTTATTATTAAAAAATTTATTAATTATAATTTTATAAATTTATAAAATTTAAAAATAAAAAAATTTATTTCAAATTGACCAATAACAATTTTTTTAAACAATTATCTATGACATTTCATTATTTTTATTTTTTCATTTTTTATTAAGCATGTATAGCTTGATAGACTCGAATTAGATAATCTAATTTTAATATCAATAGTTTCATACTTTTTATTTTGATTGATTCGGGAGAAATTTTAGCCAAATCTTTTTCATCGTTAGCAAATTGACGTTTACTGTCTTCTAATGCCTAAAAAAATTTGATAAAATTATAAAAACTTTTCATTATTTTTTTTTGCTAATATTTATATATTTTATAATATTCGAATAGTTATAAAATAATTAACATTTATGAATGTATAAAATGAAGTTATAGTATATTTTTAACCTAACCTAACCTAACCTAACCTAACCTAACCTAACCTAACCTAACCTAACCTAACCTAACCTAACCTAACCTAACCTAACCTAACCTAACCTAACCTAACCTAACCTAACCTAACCTAACCTAACCTAACCTAACCTAACCTAACCTAACCTAACCTAACCTAACCTAACCTAACCTAACCTAACCTAACCTAACCTGTAAATTTAACCTAACCTAACCTAACCTAACCTAACCTAACCTAACCTAACCTAACCTAACCTAACCTAACCTAACCTAACCTAACCTAACCTAACCTAACCTAACCTAACCTAACCTAACCTAACCTAACCTAACCTAACCTAACCTAACCTAACCTAACCTAACCTAACCTAACCTAACCTAACCTAACCTAACCTAACCTAACCTAACCTAACCTAACCTAACCTAACCTAACCTAACCTAACCTAACCTAACCTAACCTAACCTAACCTAACCTAACCTAACCTAACCTAACCTAACCTAACCTAACCTAACCTAACCTAACCTAACCTAACCTAACCTAACCTAACCTAACCTAACCTAACCTAACCTAACCTAACCTAACCTAACCTAACCTAACCTAACCTAACCTAACCTATCTAACTAAAATCTATACAAACTTTTGTATCCAAAGGTATCCAAAAATTTTCCTCTTTAACCGACCGACTCAGGTCTACCTCTTTTTGCATTTCGGCCAATACTTGTCTATGTTTATCGGCGACCAATTTCGCCAATTCCTTAACATCCGTAGTTTTAACATATTTCAGGCGATCCTCTAGAGTACACTGTTTACGATAAACACTTGTATCTTGTAAATATTTCAACATATAGTCCAGCCATTGAGCCTGTTTAACTAGATGCCGGTGCCTGTCACCGGGATCAGTTAGTTTGCTAATCGACCCGATGATCATTGCATTATCATCTAGGTCATATTGACAATTTTTTTCCGATTCATCAGCTAGCCAATTGATATTGTTTAGTTTTAACCATTTACTTAATTTTGTATATTCATGACATTGTTGGCTAACTGTTTGATTGATAAGCTTATGTATCTCATCGTCAGATAATGGCTGATATTTTTGGCTAAAATCGGAAAATTTACCAATTTTTGGCCAAAATTGATTAGTTGGCGGACAGTTGGCAACTATAGTTTTTCATGATAATAATTATATAATTATAATAACAGTAATTGTTAAATAAAATTATCAGATAATATATAAATAAATATTTGATTAAATAGTTATAAAAAATATATAATATGTTTATAAATTAATTATCAATTTACCTGATATATCAATAATTGATAAAACAATTGCCAAACTAATAGTTAATGAATATATCATAACTGATAATTAATTATTTTTTTAATATAGAAAGTAATAAACAATAGTATGGTTTATAATAGATATATAAATTTATGTTTTTTTTAATAAAAATAATTATTTTTTTAAAAATATAAAATGAAGTCTAGTCTATTAAGATATTAAAAAATTAATAATTTAATTAATTTTAAAAAAATATTTATTAATATTATACTCACAGATTTTTATAAAATTGAAAATGTATTACGAAATAAAATTAATATTTAATAGTTTTTACTAGAATTAATAGAAAAAATACATTTAATAAGTTTATTAGATATTTTTTAAACTATTTGTAGAATAATGTATAAGATTTTTATTCAATTTACTATTACAATAAAACTATAACTAATTTATTATTTAATTAATTATTATTAATTAATTATGTCTTTCAAAGTACAATCACATTTAAAAGTTTATAATTATTTTTAATTTAAATATAAATGTTAAATAATAAAAATAGTAATAAATATTTGAAAGCAATTATCTTAATATAATAATTTTGTTATTAATATTTTGTTGTTTATCTAAACATTAAATATTTAGTTATTTATTTTTAATTATTTAATATAAAAACATATTTTAATCCGGGATCAACACTGTTGACAATACACTCACAATTGGAACAAGATTATTTTAATGACTATCTATTTGTCCAACATAAACTAGTTGACGCAATATGGTTGGGTGCTAAAGTCAAACAACAACAGGTTACCTGGATGGATAATACAAATGTTACCTATACTAATTGGTTTGCTGGTCGACCAGAAAATACAAGTGATGTTGAATGTATTGAACTACAATCCGAACCGACATCACTGGGCAAATGGTATGATCGAGCATGTAATAAACGTAACCAGGTAGTTTGTCAATCAATGCAATCGATGCCAGTAAGTGATCTGGAAAAATTGATATTGGAAACTAGGAAAAATCTACAAGATCAATTAGATAATAAACAATTGCAACTAGATAGTCAACAAGCTAAACTAGATAAATTAGAATCAAATCCCGTTCCAGTGGGTTTTATATATACCCAACTATCGGGTCAACCAGAACCAGCCGTTATATGGCCACAAGTTAACTGGCAGGATGTGACCACTGATTATTCGGGTTTGTTTTTCCGGGCTGAGGGTTCGGGTTCAGCCGCGTTTGGTCAGATACAGGCGGCTAACTGGTCCCGATTGGCTGCTGTTAACACACAATGGTGTTCAATGTCAAGTTCAAATTGTGGTTATCGATTGACACAAATCAATGAATCTAGTGGTTGGACCGTTGATTTAACTGGTTGGTATCCTCAAGATATGTGGTTTTATTTTACTTCCGGTGCTAAAAATAGACCCCGAAATCAAGCCATCAGAATATTTAAACGCATTTAGAATTTTTTTTTACTATTTTGGTATTTTTTTTTTTGATTAACTTTGTTGATGTTTTTATTATTTTATTTTTTTTTAAATTTTTCATAAAAACAATTACAATTACAATAAATTGTACTAAACTAATATTTTTATTATTTTGTTTTTAAAATTATTATTAAATAATTTAGTTTATTATATAAAACAATACCGTAATTACAATTATTCAATGTTTTTATTCTATATATTAATTTAATATTTAATACAAAAAAATTTTAATAAGCAAATTGTATGTTTAAAATACTGAATAAGCTATTTACTATCAATATGTTATCCGATTATAATAAATAATTATTAACTAAAATTATTACTATAAATTTTCTTTCATTAGTAAATATATTATTTTATAACTTTTATATTAATATTAATTTATGTTGATTTTTATGAATTTTAGTTTTTGAGAAATTTATTTATTAATAATACTAAATATAAGTTTAGTTTTAAACATTAAAATAAAATTATTACGTAAAGTATATACAGTTTGTTTTTTTCATAATAATCTATTAGTCAAATACAAGTCATAAAAGCTGTAATTAAGTTATACATAACAAAAATATTATTATTATGTTTATCTATTAGTGCAATAATGTATTATTAAAAAGTTGTAAAATAATAAAATTTTATTATTATAATAACAATTGAATAATATTTTATTATTATGTTTATAAAAAATATATTGTTTTGTATTATCTCATTAATATAAAGATTAATTAATATTTAATACTAATTAATTCGTTTAATAAAATAAATTCAAATAATTTTTCTGTAATTAATAGAAAATTTGATAAAAATTATATTATATTCTATAAATAATATTATTAATGTATTAATAAAAAAAATTTATAAACTAAATGTTATCTAAAAAACTTATTTATTCTAACTTTTTTTTATTAATACATTCATAAAGAAAATAAGCAAATAAATATAATATATATTTAAAAAAAAATCATTAATTAAATAAAAATGAAACAAACAATTATTTATATATTTTTATTAGCTATTAACTGTAAGTATATTAATTGTTTAAAATTTTAAATAATAATTAATTTAATTAATTGTATATTATTTTTTAAAGATATATTTTATATTGAATGTAACGACAAATGTCCGGCCGGTTGGGACAGATATGACGATCAACTAAAGTGTATCAAAATAATAGACGATTCATTTGATACGTACGATAATGCTGTCGATATGTGCGGAAAGTTGGCTCCGGGATCAACACTATTGACAATACATTCACCAGAGGAACAGTACTACTTGATTGACTATTTATTTGTTCAAAATAAACTAGTCAACTCTATATGGTTGGGTGCCCAGGTCAAACAACAAATTATTAGTTGGATGGATAATACCACTGTTACCTATACTAATTGGTTAACTGGTCGACCAGTAAATTCTAGTGATGTTAAATGTTTGGAAATGCAATTGGAAAATATGATCCGATTATCAAGTGACGATAATAGACAGGGTAAATGGTATGACACAAATTGTAAAAAACGTAGCATGGTAGTTTGTCAATTGATACAAACGATTCAAGTAAGTGATCTAGTTAAAAAAATAATGGAAAATCAAAAAATTCTACAAGATCAATTAGATAATAAACAAGATCAATTAAATAATAAGCAACATCAATTAGATAAACAAAAACATAAAATTGATACACAAAAAATTCAACTAGATAAACTAGTAGCAAATCCCGTACCGGTTGGTTTTATATACACTCAGCTATCGGGTCAACCCGAACCATCCGATATATGGCCACAAGTTAACTGGCAAGACGTGACCATCGATTATTCGGGATTGTTTTTCCGGGCCGAGGGTTCCGGGTCCGAACCATTTGGTCAGATACAGGCGGCTAACTGGTCCAGATTGGCTGCTGTTAACACAAAACAATGTATAATGTCTGGTTCATCGTGTGCTTATCGAATGACACAAATTAATGAATCGGACGACGGATGGACCGATGCTTTAAACTATTGGTATGCAGAATATATGTGGTTTTATTTTACTACCGGTTCTGAAAATAGACCACGAAATCAAGCCATCAGAATATTTAAACGCATTTAGAAGAAATTCTAATTGAAATATATATATATTTTTCCCTATTCTGTTATTTTTGTTGATGAAAGTTTTTAAAATGTTTTTTATTATTTTATTTTTTAACATCATAAAAAATAAAATAATAAAAATAAATTATAGTGAACTGTAATATATAATCTACTTTTTTTATATTAATATTGCGGTTAATTATTAATGTTATTTTTTTAATTTACATTTTTATCAAAAATTATAATTTTATATTTTATATACTATAATTATATACATTTTACATTTCATATTATTATATGAGCAAATTGTATGTAAACTATTGAATAAGTTGTTACTATCGATAGTATGATAAAACTTTTATACATTAATTTTTTTAAAATGACTGTTAAACAAATTATTAAATTACTAATTAATAAACTTTATATAATAATAGTGTAATAAGATATATTTAGTTTAAAAAGATTATTTTGTCAGACTAACCAAAAAAAAAATTATCACGGTAATTTTTAAAATGTAATTAAACATTATACAATTGACTAACCAATGCATGATATAGTTCATCAACTTTATATATCAAGTATTGCCATGTTTTAGCTTTGACATCAATGGGTGCACCCTGGGCTTTTTTTTATTGAATTCATCCAATAAAATTGTGTAGTATACAAGATCCTTAAAATTATATAAAAAAATCTATATATACAAAAAATTTAACTTAAATATTAAACTTACCTTGAATAGATACGGTACGAAAAATTTTAGATTTTGATTTGAACTAACTTGCTCAATTAATTCCTCCGATATCATTAACACTTGTCTAGCTTTCGAGTCGTACAACATGGCCAGTTGATCTAATGTATGATTTCTACTACTAACTAGTCTATCGATACTGCATCTAATCAATTGATATTCCCCAAGGTTGTATAGCCGATTGAGCAATTCAATATATTTGGCATACTGTACAATATACCGGTGCCTATCAACCAGATCCGCTACTTTCATAATGTCTAGCAAAACAATGAAAGCATCGGTAGCTAAATGGTTGCAACTACGTTGATACCAATCGACCAGTATGTCCAGGTGCTGGGGTTTTAACAAGGAGGTAATTTGACCATCATATAGTCGACATAGTTGTCTAATATTTTCACCCGTTATTCACAAGTTATTATATTTTTTAGAATTTTATGATTTCTTTTTTAATTTTTTAATTTTAATTTTAATATTTTAAATAAATAAACTTATTCTTAGAAAATTTAGAAAAATATGATCTCATTTTTCTAATAATGTACTTAAATAATTAATTTAATTTGTAGTAAAAATAATTACAATTAAATCAATATTTAGTTAAAACTAAAATATTACTATCATTTATATTATACAATATTTTAAGTAAACCATAAATAAAATAAAAATCAATTATTATAAAAGTATTTTTTAATTTTTTAAAATAGATAGTTTATAAATTGTTAAAAATATTATTTAAGATACCTGTGCCTAATCAAACACGTAATTTTGTTATCTGTATTATTAATATATTAAAAATATTATATTAATATATTAATATATATACTTATTTATATAATTTATAATATCATTCATATATATATATATCATTTAAAATTATTTATCCGTTAAATTTTGGTATAACTATTTAGTTATATATTATTTCCAGATTTTTGTTTTGTTTTTATATTTTACTTCAACGAATAATAGGCCCCGAAATCAAGCCATCAGACTATTTAAAAGCATTTGAATTTAAATTGAATTGAATTACTAAAAAATAGTTATTTAATATTATTAATTACTAATTAATAATCTTACATAAAATATTTCGAACTTATATAAAAATACAATTAAATAACAGTATATAAATTAATATATATTTGTTAACTAGTTATCATTAATAAATAATTATTTCTATATATATGTTTTAAACATAAAACTAAAATAAAATGATTTTACTTAATAATTATAAAATAATTATATAAAGTATTTACTGTTTGTATTTTTTAATAATTATCTGTTAGTGAAATACTTTTAATAAGTCATAAAACCTTGAAATAAGTTATAAATAATAAAAATTTTATTATTATTTTTTTAGAAATTGTAAATTACTAAAATGTAATTATCACTAACTATTTTTAATTATTTAATTATTTTGTTTATAATCACTATTATTAAAAAAATTATATTATTATTGAAAGAGAAAATAAAAACTAATATACTTTAGATTATTTAAAATAATTAAATTTCTATTAATAATTATGTTATGTATTTTAAATTTTATATTTACTTTTAGTATAAAATAATTACATAATGTATTTAGTGTTTGTATTTTTTATCGTAATTATCTATAAGTGAAATACTTTTTATAAGCCATAAAATAAACTTTAAATCAGTAATTAATGTAAAAATTTTATTTTTATTATTAAATTTTAATTATCTTTACAATAAAAAATTTTATTTTATTTTTAATGATGTATAATATACTAAATAATAAATATGATATACAGTACATTACATGTTATATACTATAAAAATATAATAATAGTTAATATTAATTTAATTAATAGTACAAAGTTTACTAAATTATCTTAAATTAATTGACATTTAGATAAAAATTAGTTAAAAGGTAACAATAATTTTTTGTTTTTTTAGTTTAAAATTYACATTATAAATACAATAATATTTATAGAAATTAAGAAATTATTTAATTAATAAATGTTAATATAGTATAAATTGTATAAATAAATTGTTAACTCTTTAGACTAATTAATTAATTAAACAATGTATCTAAAAATTATTACCATATTATTAATAGCAATTAACTGTAAGAATATTAATTATTGAAAATTATAAATAATAATTAATTAATTTAATTATCATTTTTTTTATAATAAAAGATAATTATATTGAATGTGACTACAGATGTCCGGCCGGTTGGGATGCATATGACGATCAACTCAAGTGTCTAAATATAATCACCGATTCACTGGTAACCTATGACAATGCTGTTGATATGTGTGCACAGTTGGCTCCGGGATCAACACTGTTGACAATACATTCACCAGAGGAACAGGACTATTTGACTGACTATTTATTTAATCAAAATAAACTAGTTAATTCACTATGGTTGGGTGGCCAGGTCAAACAAAAAATAATTACCTGGATGGATAATTCAAATGTAACCTATACTAATTGGCTAACAGATAGACCACAAAACTCTAGTGATGTTAATTGTGTTGAAATGCAATCGGAAATTTTACGTCAATTATCGGTTAACATATCTAATAATAGTAATCGAGGTAAATGGTATGATACGGTTTGCGAAAAACGTAGCATGGTAGTTTGTCAAACAATGCAATCGATGGCTGAAAGTGATCTGGTAAAATTAATTTGGGAAACTAGAAAATTAGCTGATAGTTTAGACAAAAAATTACTTGATGAAATTTTGAAAAATTCGAAACAACAAAATCAACTAGATGAACTAGCTAGAAACTATACTGATCTAGTACTAAATCCCGTACCCATTGGTTTTATATACACCCAGCTATCTGGTCAACCCAAACCATCMGATATATGGCMACAAGTTAACTGGCTTGAAGTGACCCGTAATTATTCGGGATTATTTTTCCGGGCCGAAGGTTCGGGTTCCGGCCAGTTTGGTCAGATACAGTCAAGTAATCAATCGGTAATTTCTACTGTTATGGCATCAAGTTACGATGATGGAGGTAGAAATGCCCAAGATAAAATTATTAATATAAACTATAATGGTACTTGGTCGGATAATTTTCGATATGAATATAAAGTAATCTATGATTTAAAATTCTATGGAACTTCGGGTGAAATTAGACCCCGAAATACAGCCATTAGAATATTTAAACGAATTTGAATTAGATTTTTCAAAATCTATAACAAATAAAAAGTATAATAGATTAATGAAATTTTAATTTATTTATTTATTTTTTTGATTTTTTTTTATATACAGTATTTATATAACTAGAATTGCACAAAAAAAATGTTATAACCGAAAACTTATTTACTAAACTGTTATAAAAATATTGTTTATGATTTAAAAAAATAATAATATAATAAATATACTATAAAGTTATATTATTATTATTATTATCTAAAACAAATTAACATTGATAAAAAATAATATTTTTTATAATAAAAGTGATATTATTATTTATAAAAAAATAAATACGGTACTTATTATATTTAAATTAAAAACTTATAAATAAAATTATAAAAAAAACTCAAAACAACAAGTTCACTAACAAAAAAAATAATAAACTTTTTTTTAATAATATTGGAAGTTTATCTAGATAATTTTTAAGTTTCTTTAATAAAAAAATTTTTATTAAGTAGTATAAATAATTTTTATATAAAATATAAAATAGAAATATAAAATATGTTTAATAACTAAAATAAATTATTTATAAAATAATTATTAATTTTAATCTTAAATAGAATCTTCAATTATATTACAGTATAAATTAATTTTTATTTTTTAACTAGTTATCATTAATAAATATTTTAATTATACTATTATTCATACAAAATATACTGTTTTTTACTGATTTTATATTATAATGATAAATACAAACAATATGTTTGTTTGTAATCTATAAACTGATTAACCCATTTGAAATTAATATTATTATAATCTATATTTAAAAAAAAAATAATTGAAATTATCTATATTTAATATATATCGAATTTTATTAAATTTTAATGATTTATAATTGATAAATATATTTTCTATAAAAATAATTATTTCTATAATATATGTTTTTTAAACATAAAACTAAAATAAAATGACTTTACTTAATGCTTATTAAATGATTATATAAACTATTTACTGTTTGTTTTTTTTAAATAATTATCTATTAGTGCAATATTTTTTATTAGTCATAAAAGTAATAAATTAGTTATTAATAATAACAATTTTATTATTATTTTTTACTATTATTTATCTCTTAGTACAATAATAATTTTTTTAGAAATTGTAAATTAGTAAAATGTAATTATCACAATAACTATTTTTAATTATTTTATTACTATGTTTATAATCACATCAATTTATATAATCTCAAAATTATATTAATATTGAATATATAAATAATTAATAAAATAAGTTCAACTAAAATTTTTTAATATTAAATTAGACATTAAGTTAGATAAAAATTATTATATAATATTAAACTATTATATTATTCTTATTATTACTTAATTGAAAGAAAAAATAAAAACTAATATACTTTAGATTATTTTAAATAATAAAATTTCTATTAAAAATTATGTTATGTATTTTCAATTGTTAATTTACTTTTATTATAAAATGATTACATAATTTGTATTGTATTTTTTATAAGTGTGTATTTTTTTTTATCATAATTATCTATAAGTGAAATGCTTTTTATAAGCCATAAAATCAACTGTAAATCAGTTATAAATGTAAAATTTTTATTATTATTAAATTTTATTTATCTATTATTGCAATAATGTATTTTCTAAAAAAATTGTAGAATTGTTTATCAATACAATAAAAATTTTTATTTTATTTTATGTTATGATGAATAATATATTGAATAATAAATAAGATATATATTAAATGTTATAGTGTATTCTATATAATAATATTTAATATTAATTTAATTAATAATACAAAGTTAACTAAATTATCTTAAATTAATTGACATTCAGATAAAAATTACTTAAAAGGTAACAATAAATAAATATTTTTTATATTTTTAGTTAAACTTTACATTATAAATACAGTAATATTTATAGAAAAAAAATTAAATTATTTATTATATAAGAAAATAATTTAATTAATACATGTTATTATATTATAAATTGAATAAATAAATTTTTAAATAATAAATTAAATAATTAAACAATGAATCTAAAAATTATTACGATATTATTAATAGCAATTAACTGTAAGAATATTAATAGTTTTAAAAATAATGAATAATAATTAATTTAATTATCATTTATTTTTTAATAATATAAGATAATTATATTGAATGTGACTACAGATGTCCGGCCGGTTGGGATGCATATGACGATCAACTCAAGTGTCTAAATATAATCACCGATTCACTGTTAACCTATGACAATGCTGTTGATATGTGTGCACAGTTGGCTCCGGGATCAACACTATTGACAATACATTCACCAGAGGAACAGGACTATTTAATTGACTATTTATTTGTTCAAAATAAACTAGTCAACTCTCTATGGTTGGGTGCCCGGGTCAAACAACAAAATATTACCTGGATGGATAATTCAAATGTCAGCTATACTAATTGGCTAACTGGTCGCCCAATTAACTCTAGTGATGTTAAATGTATTGAAATGCAATCGGAAGATATGTTCCGATTATCGGCTGACGATAATAGACAAGGTAAATGGTATGACACTGATTGTAAAAAACGTAGCATGGTAGTTTGTCAATCAATACAATCGGCTCAAGTAAGTGATCTAGTTAAATTAATAATGGAAACTCGAAAAAAATCTACAAGATCAATTAGATAATAAACAATTGCAACTAGATTGTCAACAAAATAAACTCATTAGTCAACAAGATCAGTTAGATAATAAACAATTGCAACTAGATTGTCAACAAAATAAACTAAATAGTCAACAAGATCAATTAGATAAACAAAAAGATACCATTGATAAACAAAAAACTCAACTAGATAAATTAGAATCAAATCCAGTACCCGTAGGTTTTATATACATCCAGCTATCGGGTCAACCCAAACCATGCGATATATGGCCTGAAGTTAACTGGCTTGAAGTGACCGGGGATTATTCGGGATTGTTTTTCCGGGCCGAAGGTTCGGGTTCCGGCCAGTTTGGTCAGATACAGTCAAGTCAACAATCGGTAATTTCTACTGTTATTGCATCAAATTACAAAGTTGGAAATTACATTCATACAGATAAAATTATCAATATAAACTATAATGATACATGGTCAGATAATTTTCGTTATAATTCAAATCTAATATATGATTTAAAATTCTATGGAACTTCGGGTGAAATTAGACCCCGAAATACAGCCATTAGAATATTCAACACTATATACTAAATATTCAACAAGATAAACTAACTAGTCAACAAGATCAATTAGAAAATAAAGAATTGCAACTAGATAGTCAACAAGATAAACTAAATAGTCAACAAGATCAATTAGATAAACAAAAAGTTACAATTGATACACAAAAAACTCAACTAGATATACTAGTAGCAAATCCCGTTCCCCTGGGTTTTATATACACCCCACTAACGAGTCAACCCGAACCATCTGATATATGGCCACTGGTAATAAGTACTTATTATTTTAATGGTAAATAATAAAACAAAAATATATGACAGTAAATGATTTTGAAAATATACTTCAAGAATCTAGAAAATTTCATGAAAATCAAATTCAGTTACTTAAAGATGAAAATGTTAGTCTCCAAGTTCAATTAGATACAATTATTTAGAAGCTAATCCCGTTCCCGTTGATTTTATATACGTACAACTATCGGGTCAACCCGAACCCAGTCAACTGTGGTCACAGTTACCAACAATTAAATGGAAAAAAAATTACTTCAGATTATTCGGTATTGTTTTTCCGGGCCGAAGATTCCGGTTCAGAACCGTTTGGTCGGATACAGGCGGCCAACGCAAGCCGATTGGCTGCTGTTATTACAGGATCGTGTAGTTTAAGTGATGGTTACTGAATCTGATTGGTCTGATACCTGAGTCCGGTTGGAGTGAAAATTTTATTATAAAAGATTTTATTTATTTCATGCAATTCTATATGACTATCGGTGAGATCACATCCATCAGAATATTTAAACGCATCGAATGATTGGAATTAAAAATAAAATTATATCAAAATATTTTCATATTTTCTTTCAAAAATTTATTTTTTCAAACAAATAATATGTTTAGTAATTTTTTTTACTTTTATTAAAAATCTATTGAATTTCATTAAAAAAATATTAATTTCACTAAATTTTCTTTATTAGTATATTTTTTTTATTAAAGAGATTACAAATTATTAATTAACATTATTATTATCACAAAATGATATTTATTAGTTAATTAAAGTTAATTTAAATAATATAAATATATTACTGATTTTCTATTATTTACTATATTTAGGAATTTTTTTATTCAATAGTCTATAAATTATTTACAATTAATATGAGGTACATGTGCTTAACCTAACACGTGATCCTGTTGTCTGTATTAATAATATATTAAAAACCTACTTATATATATACATGTATATATCTTTTATAATAATAAGTAATATAATATATAATACTTAAAGTAAAGTATTTAATAAAGTAAATAAATAATATAATAAAAATAATCTTAAAGAAGAGTATTAAAATATATTTAAGTATACAAGTAATTAATAATATTAAAATTTGTTAACAGTTTTCTGGTAATCTTATAATTAATAAATATAATTTTTATTGTCAATTAATTTTATTACACAATTTATTTGCAACTACTATATTTACAAATATATAAAATTTTTATTATTTTTAAATATATTTAACTTTTACAAAAAATTATTTTCTATTATACTGATCAAAATGAAAATTATAATTATTGATATGATGATTTTTTTTATTAAATATAAAAATTTCATAAATAAAATATATGTAGATGTTATTTATTAATAATAATAATTTAATAACACAAAAAGTTTTAACAGTGTTTTAACAATTTTGTTGATGTAGAAAAAGTGTATTTCATAAAACAAATAAGATCTTAATAATAGAAAAATTTTATTATTGTTATTGAATTATACTGATATATTAATGCAATAAATTATAAGATATTATTACTAGAAAATAACAAAAAATATGTTTTCAATAATACTTTTTGATGTTTGATAATAAATAAAATTTAGTATAAATATACTCTAAATAAACTATACTTTAAATATATTATAAATATAGTATAAATTATTTCATAATTTTAATTATTTTTATAAAAATATATAATTAAAAATGAAAATATCAAACATTTATATATTATTCATAGCTATTTTCTGTAAGTATATTATTTGTAAAAATTAATTAATTATATTTATAGTTTTAATAATAAATTAATTTTTAAAGATAGTTATATTGAATGTAACGACAAATGTCCGGCCGGTTGGGTTGCATATGACGATCAACTAAAATGTTTTACAATAATTAACGATTCATTTGATACATACGATAATGCAGTTGATATGTGTTCAAAACTGGATCCGGGATCAACATTGTTGACAATACATTCACCAGAGGAACAGGACTACTTGATAGACTATTTATTTGTTCAAAATAAATTAGTAAACTCTATGGTTGGGTGCCCAGGTCAAACAGCAAATAATTACCTGGATAGATAATACAAATGTTACCTATACTAATTGGCTAACTGGTCGGCCAATAAACTCTAGTGATGTTAAATGTTTGGAAATGCAATCGGAAGATATGCTCAGATTATCGGCTGACGATAATAGACARGGTAAATGGTTTGACATGAATTGTAAAAAACGTAGCATGGTAGTTTGTCAATCAATACAATCGATTCAAGTAAGTGATCTAGTTAAAGTAATAATGGAAAATCGAAAAATTCTACAAGATCAATTAGATAATAAACAATTGCAACTAAATAATCAACATAATAAACTAGATAAACTTGAATCAAATCCCGTACCCGTGGGTTTTATATACACCCAACTATCTGGTCAACCCAAACCAACCGATCTATGGCCACAAGTTAGCTGGCAGGACGTGACCGCTGTGTATTCGGGATTGTTTTTTCGGGCTGAGGGTTCGGGTTCCGCCCAGTTTGGTTATACACAGGCCGAAAACTATTCACGATTGTCTGCTATTTTTGCAAATAGATGTAAAATAAGAGCCAAATGCTATTATAGTACTAACCAAATCAGTCAGTACGGCTGGAGTGATGAACTACTAGCGGACAACTTTCCCGGTAAAATGAAATTTCATATGACTTCCGGCGAAAATAGGCCCCGAAATCAAGCCATCAAAATATTCAAACGTATCAAATGATTGTCTAAATTTTGTATAACTAGAATGACTAAAAATAATGAATTAATATATCAAAAATCATTTTTTTATTAAATATTATTGATTATAATGTAACTAAATCAAACAAGATTTTTTCAATAAATAAAATTTAAATATATAATATATTTTTTTAAATTTATTTTTAGTTATTTAATATTTATTCAATATATAATATTATATATAATATTTAAAATGTTTAAAATTTATTAAGTAATATAAATAATATGTTAAATTAAAAGAAAATTATTTAATTACTATTTACTAATTTTAATCCTACATAAAATATTAAACTTATATTACAGTACAATTAATTAACAATATGAATTATTTTATATTTTTTATATAGTTATCATTAATATTTAAATTATTGTATTATTCATAAAAAATTATATTTTTTTCAATTATTTAGTTCTTATATTATATTGATAAATTCAAACAATAAAATTTTATAAGTGTTAAAGTCGAGTATTATAATATATAAGTAATTAATAATAATAATAATAATAATTTCAAGGTATTGTTTTCTAGTAATCTTAAATAAAATTTAAAAAAATAAAATATTTAATTTTGTATAATAATGTTGGATATTTAGGTATATAATTTTTAATTTAATTTAATAATTAAAAAAAATATTTATAAATTAATTGCTAATTTTAATCTTACATAGAATCTTGAAGTTGCAATACTTTTATATAACAGTATAAATTAATCTATTTGTTATCTAGTTATCAATAATAAATATTTTAATTATACTATTATTCATACAAAATAATGATTTTACATTTAGTTACTTTTTATATTATAATGATAAATACAAATAATAAAATTTTATTAATGTTAAAGTGGAGTAATATATAAGTAATTTATAATAATAAAAAAATTTAAAGGTTTTTTTTCTAGTTATCTTAACTTTTAGTTTTCTTAATTTTTATTATCTACAATTTATTTTATTTCACAATATATTTACAACTACAATATTGTATAATATTTAAAAAATATTTTTTTAATTTAATTTAACAATTATTTTTTACAAAGTATTTTCTATTTCACTGATCAAAATGACAATCATTATTCATTGATATATATATGTAAATCTTATTTATTAACACTAAAATATAATGTTTTAAAAATTTTCATTATATATAATAAGTGTTTACGCTTACTTTTAGAGTATCATTAAAACTCAAATTTAGATATTAATAATTTTTTAAGATATATTATTACTCATATGCTTTATATTAATAAAATAAAATATATATTAGAAAATTTATTTTACTCAATAAAAATAAATGATATTTGATCTAAAAATTATATTTGATAGATATATTATTATTTATCACTAATTAATATAAATAATATATTAATTTTCAATTAATTATCTTATTTTAATGGTTATTTAGATAAATTATAATAAAATATAAAGAATTATAAAAATTTTATTACTAGAAAATAACAAATAATTAAGTTTTCTATAATAGTTTTCTAGTTTATTATAATAGATAACATTTAGTATATAAATACTGTAATATTGAAATAAATATTTTCATAATTATAAAAATATTTATAAATATATTTAATTAAAAATGAAACAATTAATTATTTATATATTATTTATACCTATTAACTGTAAGTATATAATTTGTAAATATTTTAATAATAAATTATTTTTTTAAAGATAATTATATTGAATGTGACAACAAATGTCCGGCCGGTTGGGATGCATATGACGATCAACTAAAGTGTATTAAAATATTTATCAATTCTATTGCTACATACGATAATGCTATTAATAAGTGTGCAAAGCTGGCTCCGGGATCAACATTGTTGACAATACATTCACCAGAGGAACAAGAATATTTGACTAACTATCTATATGTTCAAAATAAAATAGTCAACTCTCTATGGTTGGGTGCCCGGGTCAAACAACAAATAATTACCTGGATGGATAATACCAATGGTACCTATACTAATTGGATAACTGGTCGGCCAGTAAACTCTAGTGATGTTAAATGTATTGAAATGCAATCGGAAAATATGATCCGATTATCAGCTGACGATAAAAGACAAGGTAAATGGTTTGACACTGATTGTAAAAAACGTAGCATGGTAGTTTGCCAATTAATACAATCTGTTCAAATAAGTGATCTAGTTAAATTAATAATGGAAACTCGGAATCAATTAGATAATAAACAATTGCAACTAGATAATCAACAAAATAAACTAAATAGTCAACAAGATCATTTAGAAAATAATCAATTACAACTAGATAGTCAACAAAATAAATTAAATAGTCAACAAGATCAATTAGATAATAAACAATTGCAACTAGATAGTCAACAAAATAAAATAAATAGTCAACAAGATCAATTAGAAAATAATCAATTAAAACTAAATAGTCAACAAAATAAATTAAATAGTCAACAAGATCAATTAGAAAATAAACAATTGCAACTAGATAGTCAACAAAATAAACTAAATAATCAACAAGATCAATTAGATAAACAAAAAAATACAATTGAAGAACAAAGAACTCATCTAGCTAAACTAGAATCAAATCCAGTACCCGTGGGTTTTATATACACCCAGCTATCGGGTCAACCCGAACCATGCTATATATGGCCACAAGTTAAATGGCAAGAAGTGACACGGGATTATTCGGGATTGTTTTTTCTGGCCGAGGGTTCGGGTTCCCTACCGTTTGGTCAGATACAACCGGCCAACTGGTCCCGATTGGCTGCTGCTAATGCGCATAGGTTATCCTCTAAATTTACAGGTGATTATGGTTGGCGTTTAACCGATTTGCCAGTTAGCGGTTGGAGCGAAATAATATACAGTTGGTTTCCCGATCGTATTCAACTATATTTTACTGAATCGGATTATAGGCCCCGAAATCAAGCCATCAGACTATTTAAACGCATTCAATGATTGATTGATTAAATGAATTATAAAACATAATCAAATAAATAAAAACAATAATATTTTCTAATTATTATAATTATTATTATAAACTTAATAAATTTTTTAAAAAAATGTTATTATATTATAATGATAAATACAGATAATAAAATTTTATTAAGTATTATAAAATTTATATTAAGTAAGTCATAATAATAAAATTTGTTTCAAGGTAATGTTTTCTAATAATCTTATAATTAATAAACATAATTTTTATTATTTAGCAAATAATTTTATTTTACAACTTATTTACAACTACTATATTTTCTAATATATATATATTTTTTTAAATATAATTTAACAATTATTTTTTACAAAGTATTTTCTATAAAGCTGTCACAATGACAATTATTATTATGTATTATTTATATACTGTATAAATGCAATGAAATATTTATTATAAAATTTAATTAGCTCAATAAAAATAAATAAATAAATGTTAAATACGATTAGTTATATTAATATTTACCATTAATTAATTAAATAATTTAATACAATGCTTGCTTGAGAGGAATGGTAGTTATGATGTGGTGGTCGATCCAATGATTAGGTGGAGACAATAACTTAGACACAGTTTAGTTACAATACTTTATTATAGTTAATAAAATTAAAACAGCAGTTAAAACAATGATATAAAAATGGTATAATTTAAGAGCACATGTATGTGAATGAATGCAATGGTGTATACAGTATAGTGACTGATAGTAATGCTGGGTAAGATTGCACTGACTGTCTGGTGTCTCATTACTGGTATTTATATAATAGGGATGTATAGGTTTTGGTGTATAGCTATTGGTTGGTTTAAATATAAGGACAGTTGTATAGATCGATCACTTGGCGCCAGTAATTGGTGTCATTAAAATAATCGCCGATTCCATACCATACGATTTGATACATATGCATTGGATATGTGTGCTAAGTTGGCTCCGGGATCAACACTGTTGACAATACACTCTGAATCGGAACAGAACTATTTGACTGACTATCTATTTATTCAACATAAACTAGTCAACTCTCTATGGTTGGGTGCCCTAGGTCAAACAACATATAATAACCTGGATAGATAGTACAAATGTTACCTATTCTAATTGGCTAGAGGGTCGGCCAGCAAACTCTAGTGATGTTAAATGTGTTGAAAAGCAATCGGAAGATATGACCAGATTATCGACTGAAGTTGACAATAAAAGACAAGGTAAATGGTATGACACTTATTGTAAAAAAACTTAGCATGGTTATTTGCCAATCGATGCCAGTAATTGATCTGGAAAATTTAATATTGGAAACCAGAGAAAACCTACAAGATAAATTAGATAAACAACAAGATAAACTAAATAATCAAAAAGATCAAATAGATAAACAATCATACACAATTGATAATCAAAAAATTCAACTAGATACACGAAAAATTCAACTAGATAAATTAGTAGCAAATCCCGTTCCCGTTGGTTTTATATACACCCAACTATCGGGTCAACCCGAACCATCCGATATATGGCCACAGGTTAACTGGCTTGAAGTGACCGCTGATTATTCTGATCTGTTTTTCCGGGCCGAGGGTTCGGGTTCGGCCGTGTTTGGTCAGATACAGGCAGCTAACTGGTCCCGATTGACCGATGTTAATTATAGAATTAAATTATAATTAATAAAAGTATTTAAAGTTTGTTGTCAATTAAATTAATAATATTAAAATATTTATCTTTTTTGTTTATCAATTATCAATTTCACTAAATTATCTTTAATTAGATAAAAATAACAAAATAATTATTACAATATAAATTATCAATACTTATAAAATATTTAATTAATTATTACTTTTGACATTTAAAATTTATTAAATATATATTGATATTAAAAACTTAATTATTAATAGTACAAAATAAAAATTATTTTCTAATCAATTTTTGTCAATTAGTGTTTATCGTAAAATTGATATTTAATTTAATACATAAACAACTATAAAGTGTATTAAATTATATAGTAGTTTGTCATTTATTTAGTTAGTTTTAGATAATAAAAAAATTATTTTTATTATTTATAAATAGTGTGACAATTAAAATATGTTTAGTATTGATTTTTTTTAAAGTATTAACTTTGATTTTAAATATTTAAAAAATAGTATTTATAAAATAATTATGAAAATAATTTTGCTAATTATATTAATAATAAATAATTGTAAGTTTTTTTTTGTTGATTATTATTATTAATTATAACATTAATATAAGAAAAATAAATTTGAATTTAGATTATTATATTGAATGTGACGACAAATGTCCGGACGGTTGGGTTGAATATGACGATCAACTAAAGTGTATCAAAATAATCAACGATTTCATAGATACATATAGTTCAGCTGTGGACAAGTGTGCAAAACAAGCTCCGGGATCAACACTGTTGACAATACATACAGAAGCTGAACAAAACTTTTTGAATGATTTGCTATATGTTAAACATAAATTGGTTGATACAGTATGGTTGGGTGGACAGGTTAAACTGGATTAACTAACCTGGATAGATAATAGCACAGTTAGCTATACTAATTGGATATCTGGTCGACCGCATAATGTTAGTGATGTTGAATGTGTTGAAATGCAATCGGATCCCCCGGGTAAATGGGATGATATAGCTTGTACTAAACATAACATGTTGGTTTGTCAACAGTTACAATCGTCACCAGTTATTGAATTAAAAAAATTAATTGAACAAACTAGAAAAGAATTACAGGAGCTTAGAACTAATTATACTAAACAGCAAAATCAACTAGATAAAATTACTAGTAACTATACTAGACAACAAATAGAATTGGATAAACTAGTAGCCAATCCCGTTCCCCTAGGTTTTATATACGTACAACTATCGGGACAACCTGAACCAAGTCAACTATGGWCACAGTCACCCAAAATTAAATGGCAAGATGTTACCCCAGATTATTCGGGATTGTTTTTCCGGGCCGAAGGTTCGGGTTCCGCCCAGTTTGGTCAGATACAGGCGGCCAACTCAAGCCGATTAGCTGCTGTTCATACAGATTCGTGTAGTATAAGTGGTTGGAGTGGATGTCAAAATTTGTTGTACTCAATACCTGAGTCCGGTTGGAGTGAAAATTTAGTTCAAAAAGATTTTAATGGTGTCATGTATTTCTATATGACTTCGGGTGAGAATAGGCCACGAAATACAGCCATCAAAATATTTAAACGCATCGAATGATTGCATTTTTTAATAAACAATAAAATTATATCAACAACAAAAAAATATTGACAAATCATTTATTTTAATAAATTTTTTTTTTTCAAATTAAAATTATATTTAACAATATTTTCAACTCTAACCCGACTCTCTGGTATACAGGTGACCATTTACATCATACAATCTACTAGTACTTGTATAACATGTTAAAAAATTATTAATTTTATCTAATTGCAATTGTTGTTTATCTAATTTATCTTGTAGATTTTTTCTAGTTTACAATATTATTATTATTTTTTACCAGATCACTCACTGGCATCGATTCGACAAGCAACCCTCATTTACCCTGATAAAATTTTAATTAGTTAATAAACTAATTTAAATAAAATAATTAAAATATTAATAAAGATTTATTTTTTTAATTCTACAATTTATAATTTTAATATTACATTATTTTAAACTAATTATAAAACTAATAAACTAATTTAATAATAATAATAAATAAAATCTATATTTGATTTTTAAATGCGTTTAAATATTCTGATGGCCTGATTTCGGGGCCTATTATCTGATTCAGTAAAATACAGATTCAAATGATCTGGATAATAACCTAAATTATCATCAATAGTATCATTGCTCCAACCGGTAACGGGTAATTCGGTTAAGCGATGCGATTGATCTATTGTTGTAATACTAATTGAACGCCTATATGTATAAACTGTAGACAATCGGGACCAGTTAGCTGCCTGTATCTGACCAAACGGTAGGGAACCGGAACCCTCGGCCCGAAAAAACAAACCCGAATAATCACGGGTCACATCTTGCCAGTTAACTTGTGGCCATATTGCGGATGGTTCGGGTTGACCAGATAGCTGGGTATATACAAAACCCATAGGTACGGGATTGGCTACTAGTTTATCCAATTGATTTTGTTGACTTGAATAATTAGTTCTAAGCTCATGTAACTCTTTTCTAGTTTCTTCGATTAATTTTTTCAATTCAATAACTGGTGCCGATTGTAGCTGTTGACAAACCACCATGTTATGTTTATTACAAGCTATATCATCCCATTTACCCGGGGGATCCGATTGCATTTCAACACATTCAACATCGGTAACATTATGCGGACGACCCGATATCCAATTATAATAGGTAACTGGGCTACCGTCTATCCAGGTTAGTTGATCTAGTTTAACCCGTCCACCTAACCATACTGTATCGACTAATTTATATTTTACATAAAGTAAATCATTTAAATAGTTTTGTTCCGCTTGTGTATGTATTGTCAACAGTGTAGCTCCGGGATCTAGTTTTCCACATTTGTCTATTGCATCAGCATATGTTGAATCAATTGAATTGTTAACTATTTTAAAACACTTTAGTTGATCGTCATATGCCACCCAACCGGCCGGACATTTGTCGTTACATTCAATATAATAATCTAATTTTTTAAAAATAAATTTTTCTTATTATTGTTATAATTAAATAGTAATAAATACTTACAGTTAATTATAATTAATAAAATTAGAAAAATTATTTTCATAATTATTTTATAAGAATTTTTTTTTAATAAATATTCTATAATTAAAGTAAATAATTTTTCTCATTAATAAATATTATTTTTTTAATTGTTTTAACTATTTATAAATAATAGAAATAATTATCTATTATCTAAAACTAACTATAAATGTCAAACTATTATACAATTTAATAAACTTTATAAGTATTAATTAAATATCAGATATTGATAAACATAATTAAATACTAATTGACAAAAATTGATAAAATAAATAATTTTTATTTATTAAAAATTGTAAGACAAAAATATACAATTTTTTATTTAATATAATTAAATAATATATATGTAATTATTTTATTATATCGTTATATAATTATTATATATATATATATATATATTTTTATATTTAAATATATTTTAGTAATTTTTATTTTTAATAAGTATCCTTATAATTTTTTTTTTAAAAAAAGTTGAAATGTCAAAAGTATTACTTAATTAAATATTAAGTATTGATTATTTATATCAATTTTTATATACAATAATACTTATTATATCAAATTTTTTGTTATTAATATCTACTTAAAGATAATTTGCTGAAATTGTTATTTACAATGAAATTAAGTAATTTTAATTAATAAAAACTTATTAATAACAATTTAATTATTACAAAAATAGTTTAAATTAATATTAAAAGTTATCAAAAATATTGTCATATTTTCTTTGAACAAAATATTCAAAAAAAATTTCGCATAATTTAATAAATTTAATAAAATAACAACTTTCTAATTACTTTTTTGTGATATTTTCATATATTAATTTAATGATTATTTTTTTAAAAAAAATAATGAATATTTATATTGATTTTGCTATTGTTTTTTATATTAATAAATAATGCTATATTTTTAWTAAAATTATCATGTATTACTTTAATTATTGTATAAAAATGATTGCACAACAAATTAATATCAATTTTTACTTAATTAGATTGAACTAGTTGACATTTAAAAAAACAGTTCAAATACATAATGAAATTATATAACAATAATTTAACWATAAGTTTTTTTAATAGATAAAATTTTACTTATAAATAAAGTATAGTTTTATTATTATAAATAAAATTTAGTTATTATATATAAAAATAATTAAATATTATTATTATTTGAAATAATAAAATATAATCAATTCACTTATTGACATTTAGGAAAAAAATATCATATGATATTTGATTATTAAATYATTAGAAATATAAAGTAGAAATACTTAAAAAAATTATTATTTAATCGTTTTTAATTAGATAATATTTAACATATAAATAGAGTAATAAATTTTATAGTTTTATTTAACAAATATTTATTGTAACAAAAGTAATTATAATTAAAATATTATAATATATTCATTATATAAAATGAAATTAACAATAATTTTAATATTATTTTTATTTAATTATWGTAAGTAAATTAAATTTAAAATTAAATTAATAATTTATTAGATATTTATTTATTTTAGTTCATTATATCGAATGTGACAACAAATGTCCGGCCGGTTGGGATACATATGACGATCAACTAAAGTGTATCAAAATAATAACGGATTCATTTGATACATATGGCAATGCAGTGGATATGTGTGCTAAGTTGGCTCCGGGATCAACATTGTTGACAATACACTCGCAATTGGAACAAGATTATTTTAGTGACTATTTATTTGTTCAACATAAGCTAGTTGATTCAATATGGATAGGTGCTAAAGTCAAACAGCAAATAATTACCTGGATGGATAATACTAATGTTWCMTATACTAATTGGGCAACTGGTCGGCCACAAAACATTAGTGATGTTGAATGTGTAGAAATGCAATCGGAACAGACATCCCTGGGTAAATGGTATGATCTGGCATGTAATAAACGTAACCAGGTAGTTTGTCAATCGATGCAATCGATGCCAATAAGTGATCTGGAAAAATTAATTTTAGAAACTAAAAAATATGCTCAAGATCAAGTAAAAATATTGAAAGATGAAAATGCTAAACAACAAGTAGAATTACTTGAACACAAAAATCAATTGGATAAACTAGTAGCGAATCCCGTTCCCCTGGGTTTTATATACGTACAACTATCGGGTCAACCCGAACCCAGTCAACTGTGGTCACCAACAATAAAATGGCAAGATGTTACCTCCAATTATTCGGGATTGTTTTTCCGAGCCGAGGGTTCCGGTTCAGCCGCGTTTGGTCAGATACAGGCGGCCAACTATAGCAGATTAGCTTCTATTAATACATATTCGTGTAGTATAAGTAGTTATGATGGTTGTAATTGGCGTCTGCAATCAATACCCGAAACCAATTGGAGCAGTATGATTGGTCTTCGTGATTTATTTTCATATTTTTATCTTTATATAACTACCGGTGAGAATAGGCCACGAAATACGGCCATCAGAATATTTAAACGCATCGAATAAATACAAAATATTATATAACAAAAAATTACATTATTTTGATAAATAGGTTGAAAAGAACTAAAGAATATATCAAATTATCTATTATTTTATGTAAAATTTTTATTTAATGTTATTAAAAGATTTTAATCATTTCATGCAATTCTTTATGACTACCTGCGAGAATAGTCCACGACATAGCTTTGAATTCACACCTATATGTTAAAAATATTTGCTTAAAATATTAAAAATAAGATAACACACAAAAAATTTCATATAACTTGCATACTACTGATAAACTAATGCACAAACTAAATGCAAATATCATATGACTAATAGTAATAGTAATAGTAATAGTAATAGTAATAGTAATAGTAATAGTAATAGTAATAGTAATAGTAATAGTAATAGTAATAGTAATAGTAATAGTAATAGTAATAGTAATAGTAATAGTAATAGTAATAGTAATAGTAATAGTAATAGTAATAGTAATAGTAATAGTACACACAATACACACAATAGTAATAGTAATAGTAATAGTAATAGTAATAGTAATAGTAATAGTAATAGTAATAGTAATAGTAATAGTAATAGTAATAGTAATAGTAATAGTAATAGTAATAGTAATAGTAATAGTAATAGTAATAGTAATAGTAATAGTAATAGTAATAGTAATAGTAATAGTAATAGTAATAGTAATAGTAATAGTAATAGTAATAGTAATAGTAATAGTAATAGTAATAGTAATAGTAATAGTAATAGTAATAGTAATATAATAGTAATAGTATATATATAATAGTAATAGTAATAGTAATAGTAATAGTAATAGTAATAGTAATAGTAATAGTAATAGTAATAGTAATAGTAATAGTAATAGTAATAGTAATAGTAATAGTAATAGTAATAGTAATAGTAATAGTAATAGTAATAGTAATAGTAATAGTAATAGTAATAGTAATAGTAATAGTAATAGTAATAGTAATAGTAATAGTAATAGTAATAGTAATAGTAATAGTAATAGTAGATTTTTATTTGTAAAACTACTACATTGAAATCCTATTGAAATAATTTTATTTTTTGTGTGTAGTTTATTATAAAAAAAAAATTATATATAAATTTCAAAAATTCAAAGCTCAGGCCCACGAAATACAGCCATCAGAATATTTAAACGCATCGAATGATTTTTAAAAAATTAAAAAAAATCAAAAAATATTTACAATTTTGTTTCAATCAAAAATTTTCAAACAAAAAAAAAGTGTAATAATTTAAAATTTAATTAATTTTTTATATTTTAGTAGTAAGTTATTAGTATTATAATGTATTATATATAAAAATTACTAATTTATTAATATGGTAATTAATTTACAATATAATTTCTATATTTTTATAATCTTAAACTTAGTATTTTTTAAAAACTATTTTCTTAATTTATTACACACACACTCACTCACACCCACAAAATACAGATTATCTATTAAAATCCGAGAAATACATTCCGGGTGCACAAAAGTTCGGGATAGCAGTGGACAAACTAGTCCCGAGCTATACCTTTGTAATACCTTTAAAAAAATATTTATTACATAAAAATATCCATTATTTGTATTAAATAATAATTAAAATTATGTTTATATAATTATATTATATTATGTAAAAAATTAAAAGTTTCTCTAATATAATTGCAGCCTATTGTATGACCCAGTGGGAGGAGGGGGTAATTTTAAAGATTAAAATTATAATTTATTTATAATTAATGTATCTATTGAAAACTTTAACATTAAAATTAAATAGCTGGCTCCGGGATATAACATTTTTTAAATAATTTTTTTTGGAACAACAATAGGCACTTACAATTGGATCAGTAGACTACTTGAATTATATAATAGTATCATATATTATTTTATTTTATTTTTTTGTATGTAGGTGCAATAGTCAAACAATAAATATATATAAATATAGTTATTTTCCAACACCTGGGTAAGTTATCATTTTTATTTATTTATACTAATTGGGTAAATAGTATGATAATAATAATAATAATAGTTATAATTTAGCTGTAATTAGCTGTAATGATGAGTCTGGAAATTGATGTTTTAAATTATTTATTTTTTATACTAAATTTATATATACTGTATATATATATTATATTTCAATTAGAAAAGCAATAATTATAATAATAATGTCTAATAAATTTTGATTGAGAATTATTTTTCGTAAATTTCTAGAATAATAAATATCTATAAAAATATAATAATTTTTTTATTAGTAACAAACATACATATACTAATAGTTAAAGTTGTAATAATTTTTTTTTAAATTATAAAGTTTTTAATTTTTGTATATTTAATAAATTATTTTTCATGTATTAATTTAAAAAATAGTAATTTAATAAAAACTAATTAATTAATAAAAATAAATTAAGCTGTAAAAAACATATTTATTCTACAACAACAAAAAAATTACTTAGACAAGTTACCTCTATACTTATTAAGTTAAAAATAATATGATAGTGCAGTAATTAACAACTGTATTGAATGAATAACAATTAATTAATTAATTATAAATTTATTATTTTAATATGTTTAATTATTGAAAAATTGATAGAAATAATAAATTTAGATTGATAATTTTTTATAGTAAATTTCTCAATAATAAATTACTATAGAAATACATTATTATACAAATAGTATACATTTTTATTTAATATATTTAAAAATAAATTATTATAATTATAGTTTTTTAATACTATTTATTAATTATTTAAAAAAATCTTTTTAAGTTTAAATTAATTAAATAATTATTATTTTTAATTTAATTGTTAATTTAAATATGTTCTAATAATTATATTGTATAGTACTTTTTAAAAATTTTAAAGTATTTATAACATAATATAAAATTAAAATTTTGGAAACATTTTTAGAAACTTTCTAAAATTTTATTTTATTCACCAACACTAATGTAACTTTGACATTTTAAAAACAACATAATCAATTAAACAAATATATATATATATAAATATTTTTATATAAAGTATCTGTCAAAAAAAGATTAACAAATAGTATATAACTTCATACAAAACTATTGAAATAAATTAATTCAAATAAATTATAATAATAATAAAAAAATATAATTTTTATTTAAACTAAAAAAATCATATACTAATTAATTTTTTTAAAATATGAATTATTTACTAAATATTGTATTAATAGTTGTAATTTATGATAATTGTAAGTATATTTAATAATATATTAAATAATTGATTATTAAATTAATTTTTATGTTTTTATTACTAATTTTATTGTTTTTATAACTAAGTTTTTTATAACTATTTTTTAAAGAAAATTATTTTTTTTACAGTTAATTTAGTCAAATGTGATAATCGGTGTCCGGCCGGTTGGGACGCRTACGACAATCAATTGAAATGTATAAAAATAATCGGCGATACATTGGCTACGTATACGGACGGCCAGAATATATGCGGACAACAAGCACAGGGATCTAGCTTATGGATAGTCCATACCCAAGCGGAACAATCATATTTAACTAGCTATTTATTTAGCCAGCATAGACTAGTTAATTCAATATGGCTGGGCGGCCAGATTAGCCAGCAACAATTACAATGGTCAGATAGTAGCCAGGTTACGTATACAAATTGGTTGGATGGTCGTCCCGAATATTCAACCCAGGTACAATGTTTGGAAATGCAATCGCAAGAATCGACCCAGGGTAAATGGTTGGATACGGTATGCAATAAACGTAACCAGGTAGTTTGTCAATTAGGACAATCCCAGCAACCTATAGATGAATTACGTAGATTGATCCAGCAAACTCAACAACAAGTTGAACAATTACAACAACATATCCAAGTATTGGAAACCAATTACAATCAATTAGCGGAAAATCCCGTTCCCGTCGGGTTTATATATGTACAGTTAGGTCAACAACAACGGCCACAACACCTATGGCCACAATCGTCGATAAAATGGTACGATATTACCCAACAGTACGCGGGTTTGTTTTTCCGAGCCGAAGGTCCCGATTCGGCCAAATTTGGTGAGATTCAACCGGCCAATTGGTCCCGATTGTCTACTATAAGGACCCGATCGTGTTATACACCCGATCACGGTAGCTATTGTGAGGAATTTACTACCGAATTGGGCGATACGGGTGGTTGGAGTCCGGAATTTATACGTAAAGATTTCTCCAATGATATGTATTTCTATGTGACTACCGGTTTGGATAATAGACCCCGTAATCAAGCCATACGTATTTATAAACGTATTGCTTAATAGAGGTGGTAGTATTAGTAGTAGTTTAGAAATGTTGTTATGTTTTTTTTTTTGAATATTATTATTACTATTTTTTAAAATAATTTGTATAATTATTTAAATATAATTAAAAATAAAATTATTATTTTTTAAATTTTTGTTTTAGTATTTAATATATTTTTCTAAATTTATTATGTTGAGTTTAATATTATTATTATTATTTAGTTTTAATGTATTTTTTAAATAGATTAAAATTTTTATAATATATTAATCTATTTTATATATTTAAGTTAATATCATGTACTACTAAACTACATAAACTTTGATAAAAAATATAAAATCAAATAATTATTATTAAAACAATAAAAATCATAAATCATATAAAAAAGTATAAAATTAATATACATGTTTAATATTTTATCCATAAAAAATATTATTGAAAAATATTATTATGGATATATAAATTTTTATAATTCAATTTTACAATTAATTTACCTTAAAAATATATTAATAAATAATATAATATGGTAGTTATTTTTTCATAAAAAACACATACACATAAACAATTTATTATTTATTTAGTTATAAAAATAATTATGAAATTATTATATTTTTTTTTTGGAATAATCCATAAATATTTATTGAAATTTTTATTAAACTTTAATAAGTATAAAATAAAATATATTTAAAAAAAAAATCTTAGTCATAATTAATCATAATTATTTCTTAGATATTTTATTTTATTTTTTAAAATGATAATCTATGTTAGTAATATTGTTAGATAGTCATTTCAGATAGTACTATTTTTATTTTATTTTTTTAAAAAAATAAACAAAAGTTTTTTGTTGACGTATTATTTAAACTAGCTATTAATCAACCAGGGTGCTTATAATATTTATTGTTTGTTGTTTTGCCAGTTAAATGTTTAGCCAGTTTAGACAGGTATATACTGGTATATACAGTATATAATAACTGATTAATAATAAAAATGTACTATTTATAGTACACACACACACACACACACATACACACACACACACACATACACACACATACATACACACAGATACAYACACACACATACACACACACACACATACACACACATACACACACAAACACACACATACAAACACACATATACACACATACACACACAAACAAACACACACATACATACACACATATACACACACACACATACATACACACACACACACACACACACACAGACACACACATACATACACACACATACATACACACACATACATACACACACATACACACACACACATACACACACACACACACATACACACACATACATACACACACACACATACACACACACACATACACACACACACATACACACACACACATACACACACACACACACAGTAAGACACAATATGATAACGTGGTAAACATGTGGCTCCKGGATATSATATACACTACTACTACTACTACTACTACTACTACTACTACTACTACTACTACTACTACTACTACTACTACTACTACTACTACTACTACTACTACTACTACTACTACTACTACTACTACTGTACTAATCTTGAAGTAATTCATTTATTTTATTTTTTTCATCAATGAATGCGTCTTTGATATAATTAATTGGTTCAAAAATACATGTTTTTAGTCTATATAATTATAAACTAGACAAAAAATAAAAAAATAATAATAATAGACCTGGATGATGATGATTAATAACATTGCAACTTAGATACATAACCAGTAAATACTGTATATTGATATATGTTAAAATTGTTGATGTTGTTAATAATTTATATATTAATTTTTTTTAAATAAAAAATATTTTATTAACAAGCAAATACTAATAGATATATTTTTTTAACTTATAAAACAAAATATGTTATTACTAAATATGTATATTTAATAAATTATTTTTCATGTATTAATTTAATTTTTAATAAAAAATTAGTAATTTAATAAAAATTAGTAATTTAATAAAAATTAGTAATTTAAAAAAAATAAGTAATTTAATAAAACTAATTAATTATGACAAAACTGTAAAAACATGTTTATTCAACAATAACAAAAAAAATTACCTAGACAAGTTACCTCTATATACTTATTAAGGTAAAAATAATATGATAGTGCAGTTTGTAATAAATGTAATGTTTGAATAACAATAAATTAATTAATTATAAATTTCATTATTTTAATAAGTTTAATAATTGATAAAATAGATAGAAATAATAAATTTAGATTGACAATTTTTTTTTATAGTAAATGTTTTATAATATGTTTAAAAATTTTGTTGTCAATACTATTTATTTTTTTWAAATTAGCAATTAATATAGTATATAAAGTCGTAATTTATAGTGATAAAATTTAAAATTAAATGATAAAATAATTAGTAAATTAACAATATCATTTTTAGAAAAAAGACTTTTAACTAATATAAAAAACATTATTATTATTTGAAAAATATGAATTTCCTATTTATATTACTAGTAATTATTTTTTGTAAGTATAATCTAAAATAAAATAATTATTTAAATAATTATTTTATATTTGATTTAATTTTTTTTAGTTAATTTGATTGAATGTGAAGACAAATGTCCGGCCGATTGGGACCCGTATGACGATCAGCGAAAATGTTTGAAAATAGTCGACGACTCACTACAAACCTATACCAATTCAATGGCTACCTGTGCTAAGTTGGCACCGAATGCAACCCTATTGACAATACATTCATCGGGAGAACAGGACTTTTTGAATCGGTATCTATATGTCGACAACAAATTAGTCGATACTATATGGTTGGGCGGTGTAGTTCAAGGTAACAATATTATGACCTGGCTAGATAATAGCCCAGTTAGCTATACTAATTGGTTCGAGGGTCGTCCTAGACAACAACAATCAACAATTAATTGTGTTGAACAACAATCGGAGCCAACTATCCAGGGTAAATGGTATGATATATATTGTACAAAACGTAACCAGGTAGTTTGTCATTTGATGATGCAATCATCGATACCAGTAATTGATTTGGAAAAGTTAATATTAGAAACTAGGAAATACGTACAAGATCAAATTAAAATATTGAAAAATGAAAATGCTAGACAACAAGTGGAATTGGATAATCTGGTAGCCAATCCCGTTCCCATTGGTTTTATATACGTGCAACTATCTGGTCAACCCGAACCCAGTCAACTATGGTCACAATCACCGACAATTAAATGGCTAGAAGTGACCTCAGATTATTCGGGTCTATTTTTTCGGGCCGAAGGTTCCGATTCGGCCCCGTTTGGTCAGATACAGGCGTCGAACTCTAGCCGATTGGCAGCTATTAAGACACAGTCGTGTATGGGAACAGTCAGCGACTGTGAATATACTGTCTATTCGATACCTGAGTCCGGTTGGTCAGTTGGTTTGGTGAAAAATTTTATTAACAATGGCTTATATGTGTATATGACTTCCGGCGAGAATCGGCCCCGTAATCAAGCTATACGTATATACAAACGTATTGCTTGATAGTAGAGTAGGTAGTAGTTTTAGTTTGGAAATATTGTTATTTTTTTTTGAATATTTTTATTACTGTTTTTTTTTGATAATTTTTGAGAATTATTAAATATAATTAAAAATAAAAATAATTTTTTTTTAAATTTTTGTTGTTTAAGTAAACTTTACATTTTTTCATATCGAAGTTTATGTACTTTAGTAGTACATGATATTGACTTAAATATATAAAATATATTAATATATTTTTCTACATTTATTATGTTGAGTTTAATATTATTATTATTATTTTGTTTAAATGTATTTTATTTTATTTTTTAAAAATAGATTAAAATTTTCATATTATATTAATCTATTTTATATATTTAAGTCAATATCATGTACTACTAAAGTACATAAACTTCGATATGAAAAAATGTAAAATCTATTATAAAAAACAATAAAAATCATAAATCATATAAAAAAAAGTATAAAATTAATATACATGTTTAATATTTTACCCATAAAAAATATTATTGAAAATTATTATGGATATATAAATAATTATAATTTAATTTTACAATTAATTTACCTTAAAAATATATTAATAAATAATATAATATGGTAGTTATTTTTTCAAAAAAAACACACACACACACATTGATAAACATTTTATTATTTAGTTATAAAAATAATTATGAAATTATTATTTTTTTTTGTATAATCCATAAATATTTATTGAAAATTTTTCAATAAACATCAAATACAGTATATTAAAAAAAATAAAAAATAATTACCAAACATTAATATTAGTCAAAAATTAAGTAATAACTTTTTATATTATTAATTAGTTATTAAGTTTTTTTTAAATAAAAAAAATTATATTATTTGATTTTTTTTTGTATGTATTGAGTCCCTGAATCCCCTGTCTCTGAAATTTGGGTCATAAAACAATTTTTTCTGGGTCACATTGACTACCATGGTCACCTAATGATAATTTATCGTTAGATAAAAAAAACAAAACAATTTTTTTTGTGGACGTATTAGTTAAACTAATAGTCCAATTAATCAACCAGGGTGCTAATAATATTTATTTATTTATTGTTGTTTTGCCAGTTAAATGTCTAGCCAGTTTAGACAGGTATATACTGGTATATACAGTATATAATAACATATTAATCATAAAAATGTACTATTTATAGTACACATACACAAACACACACACACACATACATACTTAAACACATATACATACTCACACATACATAAAAACACACACACACACACACACACATACATACTTAAACACATATACATACTCACACATACATAAAAAAACACACACACACACACACACATACATACTTAAACACATATACATACTCACACATACATAAAAACACACACACACACACACACACATACATACTTAAACACATATACATACTCACACATACATAAACACACACACACACACACACACACACACACACACACACACACACACACACAGTAAGACACAATATGATAAGGCGTGGTTCACATATTACGTTCGCACTTGAGGGGAGRGGGGGGTTAGCCAAAGCGAACTTTTGCAAACAAGGGGGAGGGGAGGGGTAAAGACTTTAAGAACGTTCGCATTTAGATAATATCTTATATATTGTGGGGGGTTAGGGTTAAGCGAACGTAATTTTTTTAAATGACTACATGCGAACAGTTGCGAACATAGGAGAGGGAGGGGGTCTAGATTTCTTAAAAAGTGCGAACGTAATATGTGAACGACGCCTAACGTGGTTAACATGTGGCTCCGAGATATCATACACTACCACTACTACTACTACTACAACTACTGTACTAATCTTCAATTAATTTACTTTTTTATTTATTTTTTCATCAATGAATGCGTCTTTATTATAATTAATTGGTTCAAAAATACATGTTTTAAATCTATAAAATTATAAACTAGACAAACAATAATAAAAAAAAATAATAGACCTGGATGATGATGATTAATAACATTGCTACTTAATTATTATACAGTAAATATATTGATATACTTTACAGATATGTAAAAAAAATTTGTTGTCAATAATATTTTTAAAAAATAATTAATAAAGTATATAAAGTCATAATTTATAATGATAAAATATAAAAAATTAAATGATAAAATAATTAATATATTTAAAAATATAATTTTTTTTTAAATACTTTTTAGAAATATAAAAAACATTATTATTATAATTACTTAAAAAAATATGAATTTCCTATTTGTATTACTAGTAATTATTATTTGTAAGTAAAATATAAAATAAAATAATTATTAAAATTTTTATTTTATATTTGATTTAAATTTTTTTAGTTAATTATATTGAATGTGAAGACAAATGTCCGGCCGATTGGGACACATATGACGATCAGCGAAAATGTTTGAAAATAGTCGACGACTCACTACAAACCTATACCAACTCAATGGCTACCTGTGCTAAGTTGGCACCGAATGCAACCCTATTGACAATACATTCAGCCGGGGAACAGGACTTTATGAATCAATATCTATATGTCGACAACAAATTAGTCGATACTATATGGTTGGGTGGTGTAGTACAGGGTAACAACAATTTGACCTGGCTAGATAATAGCCCAGTTAGCTATACTAATTGGTTCCAGGGTCGTCCACAACAACAACAACAACCACACCAGTCGACAATTAATTGTGTTGAACAACAATCCGAGCCGACTACCCTGGGTAAATGGTATGATATCTATTGTAATAAACGTAACCAGGTAGTTTGTCAATTGATGCTACCAAAATTAGCACCACCAATTGATGATGATACCGATAATGCTAAATTATTAAAAATGATCCAGGCAATACAATTATATACTGAGAAACTACAACAACAACTACTTGGTCTTGAAACTAATTACCAAAATATTAACAAACAGTTAGCTGTGGTAGGGGTAGTAACTGCCGTTCCCGTGGGATTTATCTATGTACAGTTACCTGGACAACAATTGCCCAGTCAATTATGGCCCGCCGAATCGGTTAAATGGCAGGAAATTACCGCCGATTATGAGGGATTGTTTTTTCGGGTACTGGGCGCTGGTTCGGCACCGTTTGGTCAGCTACAGTCGGCTAACTCGTCCGGTCAATTGTCAACAATCCGATCGAGGTCATGCTATACGGGTAACCATGGTAGCGAATGCGATGACTTTATAACGGAAATCCCGGAATCGGGTTGGAGTCCGGAATTTATACGAAAAGATTTCTCGAATGATATGTATTTCTATATGACTTCCGGTGAGAATCGGCCCCGAAATACAGCCATCCGTATATTCAAACGTATTTAAATAATAATAATAATAATAATAATTAATAATTAATTAATATATTATAAGTAATTTTTGTGTATGAATTGTATTCAAAAATATTGAATGATTTGAATAATAAAATTTGATAATTACTAATTTGAATTATTGGTAAAATTTTTATTAATAATTAATAATATTAACAAAAAAAAATTATATCAATAAATATATTATTATTATTATTATTATTGTATAACAGTATTTTTTTAAATGAGTTTTCTAACTAATCTCAAATTATTAAATAATAATGAAAATATTTATGAAAATAATAGCAAATAAAATAATTATATTTTTACTTTTAAGTTACTATTAATTTTAAAATAGTAGAAACAATTAAGTAATTAATAATAAAATTAAAAAAAAATTAGAAATATTTTTATTTATACAATTAGTAGTAATAATATAACAATAATAATAATAATAATAATCTATAGTATTTATATATCAGTATAATATATAGTAAAAATTTATTTAATTTAACAAAAAAAAAGTAAATTAATTTAAAACAACAAAATAAAACTATTTAATTAATTTTTTTATTAATACATTAATTAATTAATCAAATAATTATTTTACATTAAAACCTCTTAAACAATACGTTTGAATATACGGATGGCTTGATTTCGGGGCCGATTCTCACCGGAAGTCATATAGAAATACATATCATTCGAGAAATCTTTTCGTATAAATTCCGGACTCCAACCCGATTCCGGGATTTCCGTTGTAAACTCATCGCATTCGCTACCATGGTTACCCGTATAACATGACCTTGATCGTATTGTCGACAATCGACTGGACGAGTTGGCCGCTTGTATCTGGCCAAACGGTTCCGATCCTTGACCTTCGGCCCGGAAAAACAATCCCGCGTATTGTTGGGTAATATCTTGCCATATAATACGTTGTTGTTGTTGTTGTTGTTGATTATCATAGTAGTAGTAGTCAGGCCATAGTTGACCAGGTTCAATTTGGCCAGCTAGTTGTATATAGATAAAACCTATAGGTGGCGGTGCTGATGATGATGATGATGAGGGAACGGTATATTTAGATAATTTTTTGTCAAAATTATCTAGCCTAATTGATTGACTATCTAATTGAGCTTGTTGACTATTGAAATTTTCATCTAGTTTCCATTGTAATTTACTTAATTCAGATTCCGTATATTTTCTCAATTCAATTATTGATTTTTTCAAATCGCTATCAACTGGTGGTGATGGTGTTGGTGGTGGTGTAGGTGCTGGTGTTGGTGGTTGTGTAGGTGCTGGTGTTGGTGGAGGTGGTAGTGTTTGTTTCAATTGGCAAACAACTTGATTATGTTTCAAACAATCAATATCATACCATTTACCCTGAATGGTTGGTTCGACATGTTGTTCCACACAGTCAACTGTATTAGGATTTTGTGGTTCACCTGGAAACCAATTTGTATAGTTAACCAGGCTATTATCTTGCCAGGTCATCTTATTGTTAATAAGTTTACCACCCAACCATATAGTATCGACTACACCATGCTGGACATATAGGTAGTTATTTAGGTAGTCCTGTTCCCCTCGGGAATGTATAGTCAATAGTGTTGATCCCGGAGCCAGTTTTCCGCACATTTCCTCAGCTCTGGCATAGATTACCAATGGATCGTCGATTATTTTCAGACATTTTAGTTGACCATCGTATTGATCCCAACCGGCCGGACATTTGTCCACCGATTCAATATAATTAACTAAAAAATTATTTTTTTTTRAAAAAAAGTTTAATTAAATTATTAAATGAAAATAATTTTATTATACATGTTTTGTTTATACACTTACAAGTATACAATACCATTAAAATCAATAGTGAGTTCATATTTTTTTATATATAGTTAATTATGTTTTATTAAAAAAAATAAAATAAATTTTTATATAAAATTTTTGATGTAAAACTATTATTTTACTAATTAATCAATTTCTACTTTAATTATTGAGTTTATATACTTTAAATATATATATATAATTATTATTAATAAACATATTACAGCTATTATTATTATTATTATTATTAAAAAATGTTTGTTTAATTATGATTTATATTTGTTGTGACACTTTTAATATTAAAACTCAAATTATTAAAAATTACTTATCATATAAATAATATATTTTATATACAAGTCACTTATAAAAATTTGAATTAACAAACTTACAATCAGTAATAAAAATTAATTAACTTAAACTAATTGTTATTAAAAAATAATAAAATTGATTAACTAAAACAATAAACTAATTTATATATATTATTTATTTATTTTTTTCTAAAAAAAAATTGAATTAACAATTTACTTTAAACATAAGCTTAGCTTAATAAAACAATGTAATTTATGTAATTTTTAATGATTTTTTAAAAAAAATTTATTAATTAAACATTTTCTAATAGATAAATCTTTTAGATCATATTTAATATGTCTAATATAATTATTTTAAAAAAAAAACATATACAGTAAAGTTGTACAAAATACTTATTATTAAATAAAATTATAATATATTATTATAAGTACTAATTGAAATAAATATTATAGCTATAAAGTTGTTTAATTTTGTATATTTAATAAATTATTTGTATGTATTAATTTACTAAAAAATTAAGTAATTTTTACTAAAAACTAATAAATTATGACAAAGCTGTAAAAAAACATATTTATTCAATAACAAATATAAAAAACTACCTAGACAAGTTACCTCTATATATATTTTATTGGTTAAAAAATAATATGATAGCGCAGTTTAACAAAATGTAATGTTTCTGAATAACAATTATATTTATTATTTTAATAAGTTTAAATTTTATTTTTTTAAAAAATACTAATAATTAATTAATTTGATAATTAATTGACATTTAATAATTATATTAAACATAGTCTATTGTAAAAATTACTATAAAATTAATAATAATATATTAATATATATAATAAAACATTAATATTTTAAAAAATAAATTAATAATTTATTTTCACAAAAAAGTTGAAAATATGAATCTATTAATTATTTTATTAATTTGTGTGTATATATCATGTAAGTATAGGTGTAATAAACTAATTATTAAAACTATTTATTAATAATAATTTTGAAAATTTTTTTTTTAATTAGTTAATTATATTGAATGTGTGGACAAATGTCCGGCCGGTTGGGACAGATATGATCCGCAACTAAAATGTATGAAAATACTAACCGATTCGTTTGCAACCTATCCAAGCGCTTTAGATATGTGTGCAAAACAGGCACCGGGAGGTGGATCAACACTATGGACAATACATAGTCAGGAGGAACAGGACTATTTCAATAACTATGTATTCAATCAACATGGACTAGTCAATTCAATATGGTTAGGTGGACAGGTTAGACAACAAGTGTTACACTGGTTGGATAATAGCCCAGTTAGCTATACTAATTGGGTAGATGGTCGACCACAAAACAGCAATAGTATTACATGTGTAGAAATACAATCGGATGATCATACCCAGGGTAAATGGTACGATGCTAATTGCAATAAACGTAACCAGGTAGTTTGTCAATTGATGCAATTAGTAGAGCCACCAACACCAGCACCTACACCAGCACCTACACCAGCACCTACACCAGCACCTACACCACCAACACCACCACCAATTGATAGTGATTTGAAAAAATCAATAATTGAATTGAGAAAATTTACAGAATCTGAATTAAGTAAATTACAATTGAAACTAGATGAAAATCAACAAAATCAACAAGCTCAATTAGATAGTCAATCAGTTAGACTAGATAATTTTGACAAAAAAATTTCTAAATATACCGTTCCCTCATCATCAGTACCGCCTATAGGTTTTATCTATATACAATTACCTGGCCAAATTGAACCTGGTCAACTATGGCCTGACCAGTACTACGATCAACAACTACAACAACAACAACGTATTATATGGCAAGATATTACCTATCAATACGCGGGTTTGTTTTTCCGGGCCGAAGGTCAAGGATCGGAACCGTTTGGTCAGATACAAGCGGCTAACCAATCCAGTAGATTGTCGACAATCCGGACCAGATCATGCTATACGGGTGACCATGGTAGCGAATGCGATTGGTTTATGACCGAAATGCCAGAATCGGGCGGCGGTTGGAGTCAGGAATTTATACGAAAAGATTTTTCCAATGATATGTATTTCTATATGACTTCCGGTGAGAATAGGCCCCGAAATACAGCCATCAGAATATTCAAACGTATTTAGATTAGAGGTTTTATTTGAAAATAATTAATTATTATTATTATTATTATTAATTATTATTAATTATTATTAATTATTATTAATTATTATTAATTATTATTAATTATTATTAATTATTATTAATTATTATTAATTATTATTAATTATTATTAATTATTATTAATTATTATCAATTATTAATAATTATTATTAATTATTAATAATTATTAATAATTATTATTAATTATTAATAATTATTATTATTTATTATTAATTATTATTAATGTATTAATCAAAAAATAAATTTAAAAAATACAAAAAAATGTTTGCATCAAAAAAATGTGTTGTCGTTATTGTTGTTGAAGTATTTTTTTTTATTATTTAAATAGTTTTATACTATTTAGTATGTTATATTAATATATAAAGTATATTGATATTTCTTAATTTTTAAAAAAAATCAGTTTAATATAATTTTAAATATAATTCTATATCTATTTTTTACTGAATTTATAAAAAAAATTGTTTTCATATATTAGAAAATAATAAATTAATTATTAATGTATTAAGCAAAATAAATTCAAATAACAAGTTTGTTGTTGTTATTATTGTTTTTTTTTGTAATTTTTAAATAATTTTATTTTGAAAATAAATTTGAATTTGAAAGTAATTTATATTTATAATATTTTTAGTATTTATAACCTAAATGTTATCTAATTTAATTAAAAAAGTAATTACTATATATTTATTAAAATTTTTATTCAATACCTGAATAGCACTTTAATTTAGATAATTAATTCTAATATATTTATTGATAAGTTAATTATTATTATAATTTTTTATTTAAATATTTTTTTCATTTAAATCTACTTTTAATATTTTATTATTATTATTACATATTGCTATTGAAAAGCTATGAAAAAAACAAAAATATCTATTAATTTATTAGATTAAGTAAAATTAATATTTTTAAAATAATAATAATAATAATAATTACTTAGTATTAGATTTGATAAATAGATAAATATTTTCTTTAATTAAATTTAAGTTTTTGACTATTTTTTTTGGTAGTTATTTCTCTAATTATTTTAAATAATTGTTAAAATAAAACAATAAATTATAATTAATAAATAATTTATATTGCAAAATTTTACCCTGTTTACTATTTATTATTATTTATCTAACTGTCTAGACTTTATTAACTTTACAAAAATATTGACAAACAATATAGACTATGACTTTAGTTTTTAATTGTTTTTTTTTTGTATGAATATATTTATTGTTTTAAGAAAATTTCATTAATTATAATATGTTTTATTTTTTATTTTATTTTTATTATACTAATCTTATGTTTAAAGTAAATTGTTAATTCAAATTTAATTTATTTTAAAAAAATAAATTAAAATATATATATAAGTTAGTACATTGTTTTTTTTTGTTAATTTTAGTTAATCAATTTTTTAATTATAACAATAACATTTAGATTTTAATAAATTAATTTTTAATTATTTAGTTTGTAAATTAAATTTTCATATAAGTGACTCGTATATAAAATATATTATTTATATGATAAGTAATTTTTAATAAAATTTTTAAAAATGTCATAACAAATATAAATCATAATTAAAACAAACATTTGTAATAATAATTATAAGTGATAATTATAATATAATTATATTTGTTAATAATTATATAAATTTTAAAAAAGTATATAAAGTCAGTAATTATAGTTGAAATTTAAACAATTAGTAAAATAATAGTTTTATAAAATAAAAAATTTTATATAATAAAACAATTTATTTATTTAATTATTTAACTAAAAAAATAAATACATTATGAAATCACTATTGATTTTAATAGTACTGTATACTAGTAAGTAAACTATAAACATGTAAAATAAAATTAATTAATTTAATTTTACTTAAATTTTTTTTAAAAAAATTTATTTTTAGTTAATTATATTGAATCGGTCGATAAATGTCCGGCCGGTTGGGATGTATACGATGATCAACTAAAATGTTTGAAAATAATTGAAGATCCATTGGTAACCTATGCTAAAGCTGTGGAAATGTGCGGAAAACTGGCTCCGGGATCAACACTATTGACTATACATTCCCGAGGGGAACAGGACTACCTAAATAACTACCTATATGTCCAACATGGTGTAGTCGATACTATATGGTTGGGTGGTAAACTTAGTAACAATCAGATGACCTGGCAAGATAATAGTCCGGTTAACTTTACCAATTGGTACCCGGGTGAACCGCAAAATTCTGATACAGTTGACTGTGTGGAACAACATGTCGAACCAACCATTCAGGGTAAATGGTATGATATTGATTGTCTAAAACATAATCAAGTTGTTTGCCAATTGAAACAAACACTACCGCCACCAACACTACCGCCAACACTACCGCCAACACTACCGCCAACACTACCGCCAACACTACCGCCAACACTACCACCAACATCAACACCAGTTGATCTTGAACAATTAATTAGGTCATTTATTTATTATTAATTATTTTTATTATTATTAATTATTATTAATTATTATTAATTATTATTATTAATTATTATTAATTATTATATCTTGTTGAATTAATTAGGTCGTTAGAAAATTATACGGAAAACCTGCAACAACAAATCAATGAATTGGCAAATAATTTATCTAGCCTCGAACAGCAACAACATGGTCAAGTATCTACAACTACCGTTCCCATAGGCTATATCTATGTACAACTATCTGGTCAACTGAAAGCCGCCGATTTATGGCCGCCGCCAATTAAATGGCAAGATATTACCGCCCAATACGCGGGTTTGTTTTTCCGAGCCGAAGGCCAAGGTTCGGCACCGTTTGGTCAGATACAGGCGGCCAATTCCACCCGGTTGTCAACTATCCGAACATGGTCATGCTATACGGGTGACCATGGTAGCCAATGTGATACCTATACGACCGAAATTGCTGAAACCGGTTGGAGTCAGGAAATTGTTCGCAAAGATTTTGCTAACGATATGTATTTCTATATGACTTCCGGTGAGAATCGGCCCCGAAATCAGGCCATCCGTATATTCAAACGTATTGCTTGAACAATACAGAAGCGGGAGGGGAGGGAGGGTTGGCTGGGGTTGGGTTGGGTAGAAAATTATTAAATTTTTTTTTTAATATTAATAATAACTATTATTTATTAATTTAAAATTTTAATTATATTATTATTATTGAATCAATAAAATTTTTATTATTTTTTTGTTTTAAAATATTTGTTTTCTTTATTTATTTTATTATTAATTATTTTTATTTATTTTTTTAATAATTATTTTCATTATTTTAAATAATTACATATTATTATTATTAATAATACTAATTTATTAATTTACTATTTCAATATTATTTAGTTAGAAAATTTTTTTTTTTTTGAAAATGATAAAATAATTATTTTTAAATAATAAAAATTCATATACAGTATTTTATATACATATAATATTTTTTATTAAATTAATTTTTAATAATTATTTAATTAATTATTTAATAATTATTTAATTAATTATTTAATTATTATTATTATTCATTGAATTAAATTACATGTTTAACATTAAATGTTTAGGGATTAATGTATTAAAAATCTAGGAAATAATTTTTGTTTATTGATTACAGTTATAATATCTCTGATAACTGTCTAGACATTAATTGCTTAACAATATATTAATATATATTATATTTTGTATTGTATTTTATAGTTATTTGTATAAAAAAATATATTATTTCAATTATTTAGTATTAATATATAATATATAATACATATTAATATAAATTTTCAAGATAATTATTATTAATAATAATAGATATAAACTAAATTGTTATGTTATTTGTTATTAGATTAAAATATTTTTCAAAAATTATATTTGCACTTAGTTTTATTTTGTTATTTAATACAAAAAAACATTTAATTAAAAAATTATTTAAAAAAAACAAAAATAAAATAATAATATAATTATAATAACAGTAATAATAAATAGTGAAAAAATTGGATTAATAAAATAATATCAATTTATTAATAGAATTTTTTTAATTTATTTAATTAAATAATACAAAAAAATATTTATTATAATTATTTTTATTATTATTATTATTATTAATATTATTATTATTACGCAATACGTTTGAATATACGGATAGCTTGATTTCGGGGCCTATTTTCACCGGAAGTCATATAGAAATACATATCATTGGAAAAATCTTTTCGTATAAATTCCTGACTCCAACCGGTTTCATTGATTTCGGTTGTATAGTTTTCACAATATGTACCATGGTCAGGCGTATAACATGACCACGATCGGATTGTCGACAATCGCGTGGAATTGGCCGCTTGTATCTGACCAAACGGTTCGGAACCTTGACCTTCGGCCCGGAAAAATAATCCCGCGTAATCGGTGGTTACGTCCAGCCATTTAACCGATGATTGTGGCCATAGATCCTGGGGCTGGGGTTGACCCGATAGTTGTACGTATATGTAGCCAATGGGTATGGGATTTTTAACTAACTGATCTAGTTCCTCGGTTTGTTTAGCTAATTTTAATTGTTGTTCAACTAGTTTACTGTCTAATTGATTAATTTGTTTGATAAATTTAATTTCCAAATTTTGGGCATATTTTCTAGTTTCTAATATTAATTTTTCCAATTCAGCCACTGGTATCGATTGTTGTAGTTGACAAACTACCTGGTTACGTTTATTGCAAACAGTATCGTACCATTTACCTTGGTCACTAATTGGTTCCGATTGTATTTCCAGACAATCAATTGTTGTAGTGTTTTCCGGTCTACCCGCTAACCAATTAGTATAGGTAACATTTGTATTATCCATCCAGGTCATTAATTGTTGTTTAATTTTAGCACCCAACCATATTGAATTAACTAGTTTATGTTGCTGGAATAGATAGTTAGTCAAATAGTACTGTTCCTCTGGTGAATGTATTGTCAACAATGTTGATTCTCCACCTCCCGGTGCCAGCTTTGCACACATATCCATAGCATTGCCATATGTTTCCAGTGAATCCGGTATTATTTTCAGACATTTTAGTTGTGGATCATATCTGTCCCAACCGGCCGGACATTTGTCCGCACATTCAATATAATTATCTATATTTTTTTTAAATAATTAATTTCATTAATTAAATTTTAGAATAATATATATTTAAATATTTTATATATACTTACAATTTCCAAATATTAGGAATAAAAAAATTATTGATATTTTCATAGTTTATAAAGCAAATTAATATATTTRTTTATTAATTTATTTTAATTTTTAATTACTAGTTATATCTATAAATTTATTATTAAATTACTAAAACTAAAAAAAATAAATTGAACTAAGTAATTTATATATTTAWAATATTTTTKTTATTGTATTTATAACCTAAATACTATCTATTAATATATTAATTAAAATTAAAATTACTATTTTTATATATAATTTCGTGCAATACTTTAATAGCACTTTAATATATTTTTTAATTTTTTTATTAAATGTCAATAACATTAAGATTGTTAGYTTTTTTCCATTATAACCTACTTTTAATATTTAATATTTATTACATATTGCTATTGAAAAGCTATAAAACAAAAAAAAAAAACAAAAATCAACTAATTTATTAGATTAAGTACAAATTAATATTTTTAAAACTATAATAATAATAATAATAATTACTTAGTATTAGATTTGATAAATAGATAAATATTTACTTTAATAAAATTATTACTAAATACTTTAAATTGTAGTTTTTTAATTTAGCAGTTAAAATATATAATATAACTAGTATATATAGATAATTTTAAAATTATATGTTATTAACAAAAAAAAATAAATAATAACTTAATATTACTYAAAAAATATWATTAAATATTTAAAATWTTTAAAAATAATAAATTACTAATTAATTTGTTTTTATTTATTAATTATCAGTTTAACAAAAACAGTWTAACAATACTTGACTTTTGATTTCAATRCTTATGTTTGACATTTTAATTATTATTATAAATTAATTTTATATTTAAAAGGTATTATATTTTTTTTAAAAAAGTTTATTTTTAACAATATATATAWATAAATAAATAAGTTTAATAAATAATTTTAATTTTACTAGACAAATATTTTGAGCAAGATTATTTATTTAAAAAAGCATATAACAAGGGGATGGTGATAAATGGTTAGATATTGCATGTATAATAAAACGTAATCAATTGAAAGCAATTGATACCCAKTAAGTTATCTGGGTGAAAAATTATTTGTATTATTTTTGAAAATTGATAAAATATATATATATATAGAAAATTTAGATACAAAAAATAAATAAATAAATAGTCCTCAAAAAATATTTAAACGCATTATAAACTATAAACTATTATATTAAATTCAAATAAATTTTATAAATAAATAAATAATTATAAATAAATTTTAATTATTTATATTATTTTTGTTGTTATGTTGTAACAATTATGATAAAAAATTATAACAAAAATGTTTATCTATTTTTTTAATATTTATTAATTAGATTTTTTTTAATTACAATTATTATATTTGTTATATATAATAATTGAAAAATAATAATTATTAGATTTATTATAAATTTTTATTTGTAAATAAAAAAATATTATTTAAAATATTTTTTTTATAAAAATTTAAACAAAACATTGTATAATATACTGTACAATRTATATACATATAATTTTGTAAATATATAWATATATTTTGTATATTCATTGCATGATTACTAGTAAAAATAATATACAAACACAAAAAATCTATAATAAATAACTGCATATTTTTAAAAAATAGTTAACATACATAAACAGTAAAATAAAATTGTTAAAAAATAATAAATATAAAATTTTTAACAATTAGATATTTCTGAATTTTATTTTATATATAATAAATAATAGTATTAATAATAATAATAATAATTAAAGAATAACAATATTATTAATAATAATAATTAAATAATAACAATATTATTAATAATAATAATTAAATAATAGCAATATTATTAATAATAATAATTACAATAAATAATAATTATATTATTAAATAATAATAATTAAATAATAATTATATTATTAAATAATAATAATAAAATAATATTAATAATGTTATCGTTAACTATATTAACAAAATTGTATTTAGTATACGCTGTTATCAGGCACCGGCAGCTCCAGCACAACCAACTGGCCAATCGTACACCATTACCACCGAAACCCCAATACGATTATATAGTAGTCGGCGGCGGCAGTGCCGGTGCTATTGTCAGCTGTCGTCTAAGTCAATGGGGTGCCGATGTCCTGCTGTTGGAAGCGGGCGGCGGTACCGATGCCCTGTACGATGATATCCCAATACTAGGCTTGTATTTTATGGCCCATCATATGGATAGCTATAGGTTTTAYCAGTTAGAGCCACAGCTGTTTACGGGAAAGTCGTTTTTGGACAGTAGTACTGGCAGTGAATATCAAATACATAGCCATGTATTGGGTGGCGGATCGACACTAAACGGAATGGTATATAATAGGTATTTAATTTAATTATTTTGTTAGTAATAATCATAACAATAATTAGAATATTTAAATAATTTATAATATTATTAGTATTATAAATAACTTAATATAAAGTTTATAAATAATTATAGTAATACAATATTATAATAATTTTAATCAAGATTATTAAAAATAATAATAATAAGTTTTCTTATTAATTATTAGTATAAATAATTAAAAATATTATTATTTGTATAAACTTTTTACTGTAATATACATATCTACAATATTATTATTTTTATAATAACCTAACCTAACCTAACCTAACCTAATATTTTAATTATTAATAATAATAATAATTCAATATTTATTATTATTTATTTTGTTTGACACTAGAGGTAATAGTAAATTTTATGATACAATTGCCTCAAAATACGGTGCCATTGGTTGGGATTACGCGAGTGTTTTGCCAGTATTTAAACAAATGGAAAACAATACCGACCCCCGGGTTATGGATGAATATCACGGCCGAGAAGGACCGTTAGGTGTATCGACAGCCAGCCGGGTGTTACCGCTATATGAAAAACAAGCCCAGGCTGCYCTGGAATGGGGTCACCAAACCAATGATTTCAATGGTCCAAATCAGACTGGGTTTACAATTGCACAGTCGACTATTGCCGGGGGTATACGGGCATCGACTAATAATGCCTATTTAGAAAGTGGTCTATGTCCCCAGTTGACTATTGTTACCCGGGCACTGGTATCTAAAATTCTAATCAAACGTAATGATGATGATGGTATACCCCGGGCACAGGGAGTCGAATTTATTAAGTTTAATCATACCTACCGGGTATGGGCTAAACGTGAAGTTATAGTATCGGCAGGTAATACAGTATAAAATTACATATACAACCAATAATAGGGTATAATATTTATTTTTCAGGACCAATACTAAACCCACAGTTGCTAATGTTGTCGGGTATCGGTCCCGTCCAACACTTACGGGATACGGGTATTACCGAAATATATGCCGATCTACCAGGTGTCGGGTCAAACTATCGCGACCATTTGAACGTTGTCTTGGAATTTCCCGTACGTTACCCGGGCCTGGTCAACCCGTGGCAACCGCGTATGGATACCGATAACCTAGCACAGGCACCCTATACACTATTATACCTGTCCAGCCAAAACAATACCGATTCACCCGACTATCCGGATATCTATATATTTTCCTATACAGTCAACAATGGTAGTCAACCAGTTATCTCAGGTTATATACCATCATCAGTGGACAGTAGTATTAGTAGTCAAACATATCAACAATTCATTGATTATATCGATGAACTGGGAACTACCGATTTTATGGAAGTTAGGCCAACCGTAGTCCGGGCTAGTAGTACGGGTACAGTTAGACTCAGGTCGGGTAGTATATGGGATCAACCGGTAATTGATCCTAGATTTCTATCCGATAATCGGGATCGACTCAAGCTTAGGGAGGCATTGATGGAAACCTATCGTTTTATTGAGACTACTAGTTTTGGACAGTATGTTAGACTTCCTAGAGTACCCATACCTCCCTGTCAGTACTGTTCCCCACCAGATAGTGATGGTTTGCCTGTCTATCAGTGCCTGAGCTATATTGACTGTCTGATTGAACAATGGGCTGGCAATCAATTTCATCCGATGGGTACCTGTCGTATGGGTGACCCCCAGCGTAGGGATACTGTAGTCGACCCGCGATTGCGTGTCAAAGGTGTCCAAGGGTTGCGTGTTGTCGACTCGTCCGTCTATCCCGAGATAGTCAATGCCAATCCAAATGCGGCGGCAATGTTGGCCGGGGAGATGGGCGCCCGATTCATACATGAAGATAATAATAATAATCAATAAATAAATAGATAATAATAATAATAATAATAATAATCAATAGATAATACTAATAATAATAATCAATAAATTATTATTAAATAAAAAATATATATTAGATAACAAATAATATTATTTATTTTGATTTTWWAAAAAATTACATTAAATAATTAATTTTAWATTAAAGTATTAATATTTTAATTTATATAAATTTATTATTTAGTTTAGACTAAAATAAAATAAATATTGAATACACACATGTTATCAACAAACATTATAAATATTTTGACATAAATAAAAATAAAAATGTTAAAAATAATTTTTTTTTTTTAAATTCAATGTTTATTTTTTATTTAATAATTAAATATTATTATAAATAATACTAAGATTATTTTTTAAATAAATATTATTATAGCAATTATAATAATTATTTTTATTTATTTTTTTGTATTGAAAATTTATAAATTAATAAAAAAAATTAATTATCTTTATGTTTATCTAGTTTTATATATATTGTATAAATATATACATAAACGGAATAATATATAAACAGTATATATATATAGTGAATATTTTGTAATAATAATTTTACAGTAAATGCTATTAACAAAAACATATTTAGTATTTACAATTATATGGCACAGGCAGCTCCAGCACAACCAACTGGCCTATCGGACACCATTACCACCGAAACCCTCATACGATTACATAGTAGTCGGTGCCGGCAGTGCCGGTGCTATAGTCAGCTGTCGTCTATCGCAATGGGGTTGGGATGTACTGTTGCTTGAATCGGGCGGTCCATCTAATGCACTGTTAGATGATGTGCCGGGACTGGCGTTTGGATCCCGTTATTCATCGTTACAGTTAAG